AATTTATGGACGGCCCCTTACTATTATTATTATACTCACTTTATTATCAACAGCATGCTATGGCACCTATATAAAACTTCTATCAATAAATTATCGATGAGGAAGTATTTAAAAAAAAATAGTTCCCGAAATTAAACTAGATGTCGCTACGGTACTTTCTTGATTTGACAACCCTTCCTGTTTTCTTTCATGTATAAAAGTTAATTTGTTTTCAAAACTCAATAAACAACTCATATTCTATCAGTACTTTTTCGTATTTGTATTGGTATCTAAGTTTTGAACTTAACAAATTTAATTTTTTTTATATGTTACTTAAAAGGACTGGAAATTATTATCTTTGGTACGTTCGTTTCCTGCTAAAATCTACTTTTGATAGAGTCGCCATCTAGTATAAGTGCTTTCTTTTCTTAAATACTTCCTCATTTCATTAATTACACAAAATAATGGTTTGTTAATGCAAAATTTATCAAATAATTATCAATTAAGTTCAAAATTGATCACGACATTTTGTACTACCTAATCTATTTATGCTGCTGTGTATATCGACGCTGGAAAGCAAACACGCAGTAACCTACAAAACCAAAATGGATATTTAGAGTGGACAATCTTTGTTTTTCCGAAAAAAAAAATCTTATTTCCCTATAAATTGACTAAGGAACACCTGATTTGTTACCATGGACGTTTATAGGAAATATTTATCGAAAAAGATAAAAGAAAAGCTTTTATCTTTTTCGATAAATATTGCTCTAAAGAACAATTTTGGTTTTGCGGGTTACTACGTGTTTGCTTTCCAGCGTCGATATTATGATAGTATTGAACTTTAATAAAATCGTTGTCACATTTATAATATTGTTTATTTCAATAATATTGCCTTTTTTACGATAATGTAGATAACTGCCGAAAGTAACGGCTTAATAATATTCGAAAACTATCGAGGATCGATAGTGCTAACATTTTTACTATAAATATCGATACTGCCGATGAAACTACTGATAATTCAACAACACTAATAGCCAACGAACAAGATAAAAATAGTAATCAACTAATTATAAATCATCCAAGGTGAAATTGTGTGTTAACACGAAAATTAAAGACACCGGGGGGAACAATACGCAGCGCGAGGTCGCAAAGCTCAACACAATGGGCCTCGCCTGGAGTGAATTTGGAAATGCGAAGGTCGTATATGTCGTTGCGGTACGATAAGCCCTTCCTGCCTGTTAGTATATGATAAGTTATTATACGCACCGGTGAATTTACGTCGCTAAGTGCTTTAGGTACTCATAGTCCTTCTTCTCATTCAATTATCTTAGGTGATACGGTAGCATTAGCATAATATCGCAGAGGATGGTGGTTAAATGTTATTAGCTATTTCTATAAACAAGTATCATAAGTGTGATGTCAATAGATGGCGATGTTAAGTTCGACATATTCCTGTTGATTCCTGACTGGAAATTCCACGCAACATAAATAATCAATAAAAAAAATAAGATAGATATTAAAAGATACATGAAGAGCTATAACGTAGACAATAAGTTATTTAGTTGTTTTAGAAACTATTTACTTTTATTAAATCAGAAAGATATATCAGACTAATAGACCATTATTTTTTAATTTTCTTTCATAATATTTTTACATTGATTTTTATAAATAACTTTAAAAAATCTCTCTCAAATAATCTCTAGGACCTGCCACTGGCATACATAGATTATTAACAAAATGTCGAAGGAGCCTCGAAGAGACTGCCCGTGTATTGGAAATTATTAATTAAGGAGGATGGGCCATGACCCTCCACACTAGCCCAATGCGGATTGGTATTAACGACTGCAAATGCAGTCGGGACCGATGGCTTAAAGTGCACGGAGTAGCTAGAAATAATAATTTTTAAAGTAAACCATGCCGTAAACGTTACGAAGGTGCTTAACAACAATAATCGCGGCGCTTAGCTACTACACCACCGAGCAACTCGGACAATTATTATTATTTAAATATAACTATACAGCCAACAGCACTTAAGATTATAAAAAAACTGTCATGTTTCTCCACTTTATTTTAATCCTTAATTTTTTGAGGATAGAGTTTAAAATCAACTGGAGAAATTTGACATTGATTGGTAACGTGCCGTGCAACGGTGCACAAACTGCTGCAATTAATTAAATTTGTGAATTTTGTTTATTGTTTACACTTGCTTATTGTCGTTCACGTTGGATTGGATCATGTCAAATGATAAAAGTGTTACAGCACATTATAATGTATTAATAAAAATCACATAAATTATTACTTTCTGCTGAAGCTAACATTACTTATTTTACCTTAATGGAACCAGCCTTAGCGCATAAGTGCTTTTTATACATTATTAAAACGAAACTATAATTAATAACAATTTAATAGAGTCACATCTTAGAACTGAGACCAAATCTAGAAGTAAAAAAATAACAAATAGTCAACAGCACGGTTAGTATAAGCGATTTTAACCCTTAATCGTTCAAAAATAAGGTTCGAATTTTCTTAATTCGACTTAATGTAGTATCTGACGTGATGTCGACTTTACAAAAGAATAAATAATATTAATATATTGAGCAATCGTCAATATTGTTTTGAAGTTCGATATCATTAATGAGATGTATATTAACCACAACACGTTATAACAAACATTTAAAAATATATATAAAAAAAAGGAATCAGATCGATCAAAATGAGGCGTTATCCTCACATCACACAATGTTAAAATATCTTGTACTAAATTTTCTTCCAATACATATTTAAATACTGTATGGTTAAGGTTTCTTAAATACACAGTTTTTGCGCCGATTTTAGCTGAAACGCTTTTTCTGGTTATTACGTTTTGGGTTATTAACATCAAAGATAGAAACTTGTGCTTGGAATCCTACTCTAAAATAGTACAACACACATATTGGCGGGTTCAAAGCTAAAATCTAACATTACAGCGAGTAACATCAAATTAAGCATAATATTAGGTACAGGATGTTCATTCATTCATTTATTGTTCCAAGAACTCATTTTGAAGTGGAATTTCCGATACGCGGACAGCATGCGATCGCATTTTTAATGGCAAATATCATTCCTATTTTCTAGACAACAATATGAAGACGTTCCCACAACGTGTAAAGAAATCGGCACAATATTTATTACGTATAAACTCGCCTTTAAAATGGATCAAGGATGTAACGAGAAACACAGCATTCGGTTACGTATGAAATCGGTGCCACAGGCAGTGTTTGTGTCATATCAGCTCTCGTGGAACATTATCGTGACGTCACATTTCACTATCAACAGATGGCATTAGTGTTCAGGGCATTCAGTCTCGACAGTTTGAAATCCCAATTTAATCGAATTCTGTCGCTATTTATAGCGGTCATATTCTAACGGTTATTGCAAGTCTACGAGGAAATTCCTCACCGGGGTTAACTGTCAAGTTAACGATATTACTTTGTTCCCTAGCAATCAAAATTTACAGCTCTTGGAATGGACTTTGTTATATTAAAGTGTCGCCAAACAGCAGGTTAAACGTGAGCAGGCAGTTGTTGGATGCCATAGCTCCCGCATTCAGGAAGTCATTTACACTCAGCAATAACTCGCATGCGAATTGCTAATTGTTTACTAATTAATTGTTTTTTAGTTTAAGTCGCTGTTCCGCATTTAGGGAGTCCCCGCACACGGTAATATAACTAATACATTACAATAATTACAACTGCCAGCGAAATAAAATAAAAAAGTCCCCCCTTTATGTGCTGTAAAGCGAAACCTTAAAGCCCTTCAAATAAAGTTCATTGTCCACCTGATACTGTCCATGTGACAATTGCAAACTTTTACATACTTAATTAGATACCTATCCAATCACAATAAGTATGCCTACAAAATTTTGATATTACTAAGCATTATTTTATCCTAGCTACATTACACATTATCTTAAATCGCTCACTAATTTTAAAAAATATTTTTTATACATGATTAGGAAAATACATATACACAGAAGACACTGATCTGATATTTTATGTTGTACATTGCAAGCGATGCACTATACGTTTTCATTAATTATGTATATTTTAATGTATGTAGCATTATAGAGATGCAGATATAAGCACTTATATATTTTTTTTATTATATTATTAATGCGACGGCATATTGTTTGAACTCGTTTTAACATACTCCTCATTACACTTTATTACGTTAAAATGTTTATAAAATTATTTCGTGGTATTATAAATAATAATCGTCAAATAAAAATCTAACTTTGATTTTTACTCTCTAACATATCTTCTCGCTTTTCATTATAAGGTAAGAACGCCTAAGAAGTCTCACTGTTTTTGAAGGTCCAAAGATAGATGTGTGAAAGATTATTAATAACATAAATATTTAAAGCAACCCCACAAAAAAGTTGAGAAGTTATCAAAAAAAAAATGTTAAAAATTTAATAATCTTTTTTTTAAATAAACTAAGAAATCGTCGAACATTTCTTTGTACTTACCACTTTTTGTTTCGTTTTTATTCAGGACGGCGAAAGAAACTCAAAAATAATGCCATTAGCAAGTATATATTAACAATATAAATTAATTATATGGTGACATACAGACTTGACAAATTGATAGTTGACTTTATTAGATTATGATGTCACTTCTCATTAAATTGTTAAAAACAGCAACAATACATGAAGCTTAGGGCTTCATGTATTGTTGGGCTTGAAATAAAATAAAAAATATATATATTTGCACGTGCGCTAGTACGACTCGATTTAGAAAGAATTTTACTCTTTCTAACATAATGGACCTTCTTAGGCGAATTTACCTTATAGATGTTCGTCGTACGCAACGAATGAGATTATTTCAAAGATATTATATAATTAACCGATACATTGACCCGAATCTCTAATGAATTAGTAAGTCATCAACTCTTTTACGTCATGTTTAAGTTTTAAATAAGCAAAATCTTACCATACTTACACCGAATATTGAAAGCTTGGCCACAAAACGATGTACTGTACTCATTAGTAGGTTTTAAGAGACCGTATAATTTTAATACAGTAATAACATAGAAAACATGATACAACTTCAGTAAAACACTGTTTTGAACTGAACCATTATGACATCAATCAACATTTTGAAGATAATTTGCAAGATTATAGCTAAATTGTAACAAACAACTACTTACTCCATTTTTGTACGTATAATTACCGGCACCTTATCCTTCTGATTAATATTTATCACATAGTGAAAGCATTATAATTAATAATTATTTATAACTATCGTAACTCATAGGTATGATAAAAAATATAGAAAAACGACAATAGAAATGATGCCGAGGTAAAAAAAAAAGAAATTCTATTTAGTCCGTCACTCAGATAATAGACAAATCTTTTATTTACTTCAATTTAACAAGCAATAGCTTAGATAAGAGGCATTACGATATAGTGGGGTAGTTGAGGAGTGGGAATGTCAAAGTTTTACAGAAAATGTACAAAAGCGTGACGTCATGATATTTTAATACTAATTTGATGATAAAAAAATAAAAATACGTGTTTAATATTTTTCAACAACCTACCTAACGGACGAACAAAAAAAAATAAGTCAACATCCCCATTATACTGGTAAACTCTTGGTGGCTTATAATTATGGCAGATGCACAGCCAAAAAAAAAATTAATATTAATGGCAAAAAATATTGGGCTATATATGCTTTTTTTTATTCTAACATTGTAGCTGGGAATAACTAGTTTGAAATACAATTATACTATAAATATTTTAATGAAATATAAGTCATTTGAATTTTGCTACATCTCTCAACCGCAGGGTTTGTAAACCGGTTTAATTGTTAAACCGATTTAACTTTAGTACATGCGGAACTTTTTAGAAAAAGTATATGCTCCTGTGAACCAGTTTGAATCGAAACACTAAAAATACTGTTTATTTTGTTAATTCGCTTATTTTATCAGTTTTAAATACCACTATAAGCAATGATCTTACTAACATTTACAAGGTCATATGCACCACGTGCCGCATTTCTTTTTTTTAGAGGGTGCGGGCGCTACACGTCTCAATGAGTCATGATTAAACATTGCATATTATAAAGGGAATTAACCGGTTTATTTTTTAATCCAAATTACGCTCCGTATTTAGTTCCACTTGGGAACATTACATGAAAATCGGTTTTATTTACATAAAAATTATTTAGTCTAAACTGGTTTCAAGCCCTGTTCGACGGTACATGGCGGCTTAAGGTGGTCAAAAATGGGTTTTTCACATTTTTCCAGATAAGATACCACATCTATCGTTACCGAAATTTATACAGGTTACTAATTATTTTACCGTACAGTGGCTTTAAAGAAACTAAATTTATATTATAAAACATTTTGGATTCAAAAATACATATAAAAAAATCACCTCCTTCCTAAACCAATAAAACAGTTCAATTTAAACATCTGTCACTCACAATACAATATTTCCATCAATTCTTCCTAAATTTCAAAATCATAATACACAGTACATACAAACTTTCATAATAAATTTGTATTTATTCCTCGGAAGCTAATATTACAATTATAAATAATTTTGTGTACATAATAAAACTAAATAACAATCCAAAAGAGACTAGGAGAATAAGCACAGTAAAAAAAACAACCAAAAAACCTATTATGAAGGAACACCAATCATATAAATATCGTATTACATCAATAAATAAAATTCACACAGAAAACTTTGGAACAATCACAATTAAGTAATAACAGTCAATGTTATTCAAATAAATATCAAAATATACATGAAAACAGTAAATGAAGGTCTATTTTATCAAATTAAGACTTAAAATTGGAATGTATACCAGTCTATTAATCCTGAATTATACATCAGTCTCAGTCTTGCTGCTTGTGCGTCGACTCCTTCCAACAGATCCAGAATTCACCCAATGAGGACCGCTAAGTAAAAATTTCTTTACATTATATTCCATCCTTGCCAAATCTTCAGGGGTAATTTCTTTATCCCCGTTTGTTTTGATTCCAGCATGTAATGCTTTACTAATGTCACGTTCGACTTGGCTAGTTTTCACAACATTCCTGTCGGCTTCTTTGCTTACCTCTGTTACAGTAGCATCGCCGCTATCAACAGGAAACATAGTTTCCTTAGCGATATTATTCGTAATTTTTTCACTGGTAAAAACTTTTCGGGTATTTCTTTCTTGGGCTAGTAGAGATGAAATATTATTGTGCACCCAAGTATTGTTATCTTTAGAATATTGTTTGGCAAACTTACTAACAGGATGTGGCATATTTAATGCTATTTCATTCAAAGTCTCTGTCAATCTAGTCAATTTACTATCTCTTCTTGCCAGTCTACTGCTAAAACTCACATCGTCATCTAGAGGATCATTAAAATTATTTTGCTGTTCTAAATTTTTTTCAACCCATTCAGCTACTCTTAATAATTGTTGTTTCTGCAATAACGCTGCACTGTCATCACTAGAGAGGGAGCTTGTGCTTTGCTCATTTGTGAAAACATTTTTGCTTTCATTGACTTTTAAATGAGTTTGTGTCAAATTTGGATATACATTAACGACAGCGGGCAAAGAAGATTTATGTGGTATGTTAGACTTCTTTTCTAATTTTGCAGCATCACCTAGTGGAGGGAAGTCTTTGGAGATTTTAGTTTTTTCAAAGGAATGAAGTTGAGACATGTCAATTTTCTTCAATGATCTATTGTTAAATTGACTTTGCAGTTTGTTTTGTTCATAGCGATCAAAATTAAATATTTTCATGTCATGATTATCAGTAGGAGTAAAAACGTTATGTTTTTCGGGTCCTTCTATTTCTTGATTGTTATTATTTTGTTTATTGATAGCATCTGAACTAAAATCATTCAATAAATTTTCAATGTCTGGTGTATTTTGTTGACTTCCTTGTGTGGTATTATTATTGTTTTCAGAGTTTTGTGAAAAAGTATGAGTCTTCAAAGGTTGCAAAGGCGAAGAGGACACATTTAACAAAACAGGATTAATTGAGGCTGTTTTAACAGATGTAGTGGATTCTTTATTATTGTTGTCAACATGGACATCAATTAATGTAGTTTCAATCACAACATTGTCATTTTTTACGTATTTTTTCTCTTCTTCTCTATTTTTCTCTAATGTCATAAAATTATCCAGGTCGTCATGGAGATCTTTAAGTAAAGTATCGGTGCATTTGCTTTGCCGCCTATACAACACTGGTGGAACATCAGGTTCAGCATTATCTAACAATATGTTCTTAGAACCTGCCTGCATACGAAGATGACAAAATCTAGGACCAGGTCCAACTTGAGTATTAGATTTGTGTGTGCTTACTGTTGATTTTGCAAGAGAAGAAGTTCTACTCATTACACTCAATGAACTTTGGGAATTTTTCCTTGTCTTTGGAACATCTGCAATTTGTTTTTCATATTTGTTTCCTACTTCAGTAGTATTTGGCAATTGATCTTTTACAAGCAAATCTTCATTGCCATTACTATGTACACTACTCCTTTTACTTGATATTGAAGTCTTAGTACGATCACATAACTTGTGATGTACAGAAGGTTCCACATTAGCATTATCATTTTTTTTATCTTTGAGTTCTTTGGGTAAAGATTGATCTATAGCATAATCTAAACTATTAATAGTAATAATATTTTTTGTTATGTTATCATCAACAGCATTGATTTCATTAATTAGAGAATTGTTCACAATAGATATCTGTGGCTCTTCAATATTTTTTTGGTAAGGCTCTACAATGGGTTGTGGAATAAGATACATTGGACCTGTTAGGCCACAATTGAGAGGCTTTTCATTCACAAGCTTCATATGAGGTGAACTTTTAGCACTCACATTGGATTTCACTTCTGATTTGCAGTTTAAACACAGAGAACTTTTAGTTTCTCCTGTCAAAAGTGTTTGAGTTGCAACAGAATAGTAACTTTCATTATAACAAAATGGCTTGTTCTGGGATTTAGAACAAGTACATGTATCACAGTGTTTAGTTACAGTATCTTGAATGCTATCTTCAAGGATTTTAGACATGAGCGAGGCAGAAATGTTGAATTCATACTCACTGGCATCAAAAGTATCATTTTCATTTCCACATTTAGATTGAGCTGAACTAGATGGTTTTGATGTTTTTGACATAACATACTGTGACACCCTCGCTTGAGTGTCAACTGGAAGCTGTAAAGAAAACATATTGATCAACTATTATGCTATTTATAACTGAGATCATAGCTGTGACGATTGAATCAATGCATTTTACTTACATTATCTAGTTTCTGTGAAACAAAATTATCAGGTTTGCATTGTAACAATTGAATAGCCAGATTCATATCATTCTTATATCTTTCCTGCAAAATAACAATAACACCAATCAATGGATATAAGTGTTTTGGATAAAAAAAAAATTGTAACAAGCATAATGATATAATAAGAAAAAAATTTAACTCACATTCTCTTTTTGTAGCATACTGTAATTGTGTTTGGATTCAGCCAATCTAACAGACAGGGTAGCAATATCTTTTGTCAGTTGACTCTTTTCACCTTTCATTTTGTCAACCATTTGTAATAATTTATCTTCCAGAACTTGATTTAACTTCTGTACCCTTTTATGGGAGTCATATAACCTAGAACAAAGAGATTAATAAAAATAGAAAAACATATATAACAAATATTTGCGACTTTCAGATAAATTAAACTTTTACCTTTCATATTTTTCTCTCCAGGTACTAAGTTGCTCTTCTAAATCGCTAGCTCTAGAAGTACATTTAAGAAACTCTCCCTCGAGGGCTACAATGTGTGCATCTCTCTCTGATAGGTGCTGCCGAAGGTGCTCCACTTCCGCATGCAACTGCACACCATCTGCACCCTCATCGCAAGCCTAACAATTGTGCAATGTAAATAAAATAAACAAGCTGATGTGATAATATTAAAACTTTGTGTTATATTTGTGGACAAATATTTAGACTTCTCAATGTGTGTCTAAAACTTGAAACTCATCTACAGAAACAACACAGTGTTATAACAGTCACTCACACAAACCTAAATAAATGTTTCATGGATATACACCAACTTCTAATTATTGCAGCAAGCACTGAACTAAAAACTGAAATTGTAATTGGTAAAATTTCAACCTATCTAAAAATAATGATTATTGCTTTTCAATTATTAATGAACTTATCACAAAGTATTAATTATGAATTGACATAGACGAAAAATGAAGATTTATTATGCTTTTAGACTTTACAAAATACTTGACAAATACATTTACCATAATATAGTACATTTTTATATACTTATTTCCATAGTAAATAAGGTTATTTCTGATTATTGGAATAATACTAATAAAATGATCCTAAAATTATCAGTTTTTGAAGGATCTGAATCACTTAATATTTTGAAACTATCACATATGAAATGTTTTGCACATTGTTTCTAAACTCTACTGGCAAATTACTGAGATTTAAAATCAACTGGGCAAATTTACATTTACATGACAACTGTATAACATTCATACTTTTCATTTCAATATAATAGTCATAAATGTAATAAAGTAGTAGAATAATGTTAATGATAAATAAGTTTTGTTTTAAGTACTATAATTATTTATTAGTGTTCATAAAATATTACTAGTGATTTATAGTAAGGTAAATTTTAAGTTAATATTTTTAATAAATCATGACACAAGCTATAGTATAACATAAAACAGACATTTAGCAAATTAAATAAAGAAAAGCTATGTGCATTAAACACAGAAATCCTTTTTTTATTTTTGAATTCAATTCATTCTCATTATTTTAGTTAACAACAACAACAAACCGATTTATATAACTGAATAATACATTTGATCACTAGAAAACAGATTACATATCAATGAAAGTATTATGATATTCTTAAATTATTATTTAAAATATATAAAATACACTTTTCCAATGCGTTGATCCATATGGCATATATATGTGAATACCTATCAGAAATTATTTAAACTGATTTTAATATAAAGGAGCCTATACCTTTAGAAATAAATAAAATTAAAGCAGGTTTATTACCTTACAAGGGGAGTTCTTGTTGCTCTCATCCATCACTTAGTAATTATTCTTTTTCACGTTTCACATTATGTTTATTCAATTTGATGAAATTGTTCGGACGTCACAAGAAAAGCAATTCACCAAAGGCACGAAAAACAAATAAATCAAAAATCAATTACACTCACAAAGTGATTTAATTCAAATTTACTTTTAAACCATTTGACATCGAATCCGTAAAATTGATTTACAAAAGGAACATATTAATAAAACGGTTCAGAAAATACAACTGATTTCAATTTTGCTGAGAAAACTGCACTAAAAACCCCTCAATCCGTGGCTAGTTAGCCATAGAGTTTGTTTTTCCTTTTGAGGCACAGATCTGATGACCATGCAGCCGTGTCATTAGTATTGGCTGGCCATAGAGTTTTTTGTGGATTTTTTCATAAAGTAAAGGCGTAGGAAGCTCAGCCCACACATCCACTATTTGTTAAAAAAAATCTTTCATATCCTAGGAAAAAATAGGCCGTAGCCATGTCTTTAATAACAACAATATGGCGAATAATATGCCATGAAGGCCTTGTTTGTACTGTAAAATTAAAATCAAATTACAATGTTACAAATCGAGTTAAATGTCAGATCCAAATATTCCACTTTTTGTCACTTATGGTATAATTTATTATATTCCTTTAGTTGACACGACGTAATCGTAAATAAGTCGAAACATTGATTATTCAATAAATGCTACAGAGTGCGCGGGATATTTTCAAGTTTATGATAAGTCTCCAAAAGGCGATCTACAAAAAGAATCCTAGCAAGAGCAAAATTACTACATTCAAAGAAAAGGCGATCCAAAGTTTGGCTACTTGAATTACAATAATTGCAGATAGATAACGGTGAACGGTATTTATTTTATGAAGGTGAGCATTAAAACGACAATGTTTAAACCTGAAACGAGAAATTATAGTGTAATATTTTCTACCACTGTAATGGGATCCCAAGGTTTTGTAATATTTTTGTTTATTTTCCTATACCATTTCGCCTTGGTCAGATTGATTTGTTCTCAACTATTAAGAAAATTGCCACTCAATTTTCTTTTTATATTTATCAAGATATCTAAGCCAAGTACTTCAATATTTGTGATGGGATTATCTAATATAATCCAACAAGAAAGTTTAAAAGTGTTTTATGGATGCCTTTATGTTTTATTCTCGCTGTAATGTATTATCTAAGAAAGTATTAGCTAGGTTGGCGCTGTTGAAGATTACGCCTACTTTGTATTTGATAACCTTTTTCAAATACTTAATACCTTTAACAAAACGGGTAAATCATCGGTACATCATATACCGTGTACCCGCTTTCTACAAAAACAATAATTTCATAGCCAGCCACGCTATCTTCAGGATACCTGCGGCAGTAATCTGTAACCCTATAAAGCCAGTACTTGTCGTTATTTTCTTCCAACCTATGAGAGTATTCAGAGTCATTTGATTCAGACTCTACAATAGTGCTCGTCAGACTTAAGCAATCAGATATAGCTTTTCCATTTTTTGGCTATCTTTCACCATCAGAAAAGAAGGATGAAAACTTACTGATAAACTTCTATACTTTTTAACTATATAAACAAATAACTTAAGACTAAACAAAATATATACAGAAAACAGATATGTACAATATTAACAAGAAACATTTACAAAAATTCACTAAAATCAAAAAGGCCCCCCCTTTTTAGACACTTCTCGAGCTTTTTCTGTCCATGCAGTGCTGTATTTTATATTCGATAAAAATGTCAAGCAAGATCTACAGCTATTTTATCTGAGATCTAAAATCTATTGTTGATGGTTTAACTAAAGCAAAGGGATCTTGCATATACGTTTACTGTAAAGAATATAGGTATGTTATGTGTAATCACAAAGGTTTGTTGATATACAGAATCTTAAAAACATTAAATTTAATTATAAATTTCTAATTTCCACTTATTTTCTTATTTAAAAATAGTGGTTTTTAAATAGTGAGTGTCGTTTACACTAGGAAAGCTATGACACCTTCCTCTTCTTTTAACTAGCAAAAGTTAATTGTTGCAGGAAACGAATGAACCAAAGACAGTAATTTCCGTTCCTTTAACATACAAAAAACTGAATTTTGAAAAATTCGAAACTTAGATATCAATACAGATAGATAGATAAATGATTTATTTCTTGCCAAAATACACACACACATTACACTTCATTCAACAGAAAAATAATTAATAAGTATGTAGATTAGACAAATGAACATTCGAAAACAAAATGTGTGTGTGCGTCACAGCAGTAAACAATGTTCCCAGCTCAGCGTCAAGTATTCACGCGCATACAATGCGAGCAAATCGCTGATTTTCAGCTGCAACCAAGAGCGAGCGCAAACACGGTACTGAAACTAACCAGGATTAAATATCGATGAAAATCAGATAAAACCATCCTAATATATATATTTTATAGATAGAAAATAAATAAAATAAATAGTGAAATATAAAATACATTAGTAAATATTTTATTGAATAATAATTACTATATTTATTACAAAATTCAAATCAAATTATTATATTATTTAAATCAAGTTAAATTATATAATTCGTTTTTATCATTAATAAACAATACAATTAAATGAGATATGTATATTGAACACCAATCAATAAGTGAAATAACAAAATGAATCACGTTACCGCCACCTGTCAGAGTGTTGGAATACCTAATTTTTGTTTATCTAGCAGATATGACTAATAATTTTTTAAAACAATATTTATTTTTCAACAACCTTAGTGGCGGTGGGATATTATTCCAACACTTAGTTGCGTGGTAGCGGAAAGCCACAGTGCGGTGTTGGTGAACTACGAGAGACGGTCGTATTGATCTTGGTGCGTAATCACGCGATCTGTTTGAGGTACAAAAATTCAATTTTGAGAAGAGGTAATCGGGACTTTTAAATTTTGTTATATCGAATAAAAGCGATGCCAGATGTAAATGTCGACGTGATTCCATATTCAATATTGATTCATTATTAAGAAATGGAGAAATATGAGAATGAGGCGGTACATCAAAACAGAATCTAAAGCAGGCATTTTGAACTCGCTGTAACAGTCTTTGAGATTTATAAAGGAGACGTGGTCCATAAACAAGATCTGCATAGTTAAGTCTGGACAGAACTAATGCCTCGACAATATTAATACGAGCATTCTGACATAGTAGATCACGTATCTTATACAGGACCTTCAACCTGTAGAAACAGTGTTTGGCCAATACCTTTACATGGTCTTCAAAACGCAGCTCGCTATCGAAGTGAACACCCAAATTTTTTACACTGTCCACACGTTCGATTGTATGCTGCTGTATTGTAATATGAGGAGATCTGTTAATGATCTTCTTTATTTGGGATTTAGAGCCTATGACCATATATTTAGACTTATTCGGGTTAAGCATAAGGCCATTTTCAGTACACCAATGAGCCACCCCCTCCAAATCCTCATTCAAATAGCGAAGTGCACACGCCACTCTATCGGGATGCTCAGATATGTACAATTGAATGTCATCGGCATATAAATGATAACGACAATGCCTTATGATCTTTGTAAGATCAGCACTGAAGATTATAAATAGAAGAGGCCCCAGAATGGAGCCTTGAGGTACGCCCTGACTTATTAATTTAGGCGAAGAGACGTTTGCAGTTCTATCCCGTCGTAAAAGCTTGACGGACTGATATCTATCAGTCAAGTAACTATTAAACCATCTGACCGCATGCGCGTCCAGTCCATAGTAAAATAGTTTCGAAAGCATGAGACATATATTAACACATTCAAAAACCCGAGAAAGGTCAAGAAGAGCAAGGATGGAACCCCTACCGACATCAGATTCTGCCAGTAGATTGTAGGTAACATCAAGCAAAGCCGTAACTGTTCCACGACCTTTGCGAAATCCAGACTGGCGTGACGGTAGCAATTTTATTTTTTCTGCATAATCATACAGTTGTCGATATACAACCTTTTCCAATATTTTAGAGAGAAAGGGAAGTATACTTATGGGTCTTAGTTCTTTGAAATCGCAGGGTAGCTCCACTTTAGGCAAAGGAGTAACTAACGCCTTCTTCCATTGACCGGGAACTATTCCTGTACGTATGGATTCATTAATGATGTTGGTAATAGAAGAACCATATCTCTGCTTATATTATCACTGCCAATAGTGTTGGATTTAGTGGACATAATATACCGAGAGATCGTTAATTCATCGACTGGTTGGAGCGTAAAAATAGAGTTAGAAAATTTGAAAGATTCAAAGAAAGCAATATTAGTCGACGTGATAGTATTATGCACGGGTACATCCAAAAAATATTCATTAATAGACGCAGGATCACAGAAACAGTCAGGTAAACGATCATTTGTACTAGGATCGATCAAAACTTTTTGTTTTATATTGCACCAGAAGGTTTTACTGTTATTAATGTTGGAATGGACATAGTGATTGACACTAGAGTACACGCGCGGCCTACTAGACCAGGGTTGCTCTTTTTGTCGTAACCTTTTTTTTTTTGCGCGCCATAAAGTAACGGTTCTAGGTAAGCCTCGTCTGGTATATTTGTTACAACCTCAGTACCCCGCGCGATCCCCGTGAGAACGCATGTGCGAGAAATTTGGCGCCAAAAACGCAGGCTTACTAAAGTAGTCCGCGCGTGTATTGGTGTAACTAAATCAGGTAAGTAACTTTTAGTCTATTATCAATTTAAAATGCTTTTATAATGTTTTCCAGTTATTATACGCATATATATTTGCATATTTACCAAATAATTGTTATTTTAAAATTGTAAAATGTTTATTATTATTTGTTTTTACAGATTTAGAATCGATTACGTCATGGATGATTCACAAGTGGAAAGGTGGCTACATGAGCTAGATATTGATGATGAAGATATGACTGAGAGTGAAGATGATGAAGTTGAGCCAGAACCAGACTTACAGTCTCTAGTTCGTGAGTATGAACTCCAGGAAAAAGAAGAGGAAATGTTGAGTGATTCAGACGAAACATCTAATTCAGATGACACTCCACTCTCGCAAGTAGCATCCTGAAGGCACGGTTCAGTCTACAAATCGAAGAACGGAACTATTTGGCACAAAAATATGCCATCAGTAACGCGAACTCGAGCTCAAAACATTAGGATTAGACCACCAGGTCCAAAAGGAGATGCAGCTAAGAATGCTAAGGATGCATTATCCTGTTTTGAATTATTTTTTACTCAAGATATCTTAGAAATCTTAGTAACATGCACTAATTTATATATAGATAAAATAAAAGACAATTTTCAACGAAATAGGGATGCTAAACCCACTGATAGAGTGGAAATGAGAGCATTTCTGGGCATATTATACGTCATGGGAGTGTCACGAAGTGGACGGCGTAACATAAAGGACTTTTGGGATAACTCTCTGGGTACTGGATTAGAAATTGTATATGCCACAATGTCAATAAATAGATTCCGGTTCTTGATACGTGCCCTAAGATTCGACGACATTACTGATAGAGAAAAACGCCGAGAACTTGATAAAATGGCACCGATTCGACAAGTTGTAGAGCTAGTTACCAACAATTGTCGTAACAACTATGTTCCTAGCGATTATTTGACTCTAGACGAACAACTTGTCGGTTTTCGAGGACGTTGCGGCTTCATAATGTACATACCAAATAAACCAGATAAGTTCGGAATTAAGATTTTCATGGTTGTTGATACAAAATTTCCGTATGTGTATAACTTTGAGATATATGTTGGAGCGCAACCGAAAGGTCCATTTCAGAAGTCCAATAAGGTTAACGACGTTGTCTATAGAGTACTAGATCCACTTCATGATTTGGGCTGTAATGTATCTATGGACAATTATTTTACAAACCTGTTTCTGGCTAAAGAGTTATTGAGGAAGAAAATAACGATAGTTGGTACTATGAAAGCAAATAGACCTGAAATCCCTAAGGAATTCAAAGCTTCGAAGTCTAGGACTAGTAAAAGTTGTCTTTTTGGATTTCAAAAAGACGTCACTCTTGTATCCTATGTTCCTAAAATAAACAAGGCGGTTAACTTACTGTCTACAATGCATTATGAAGCAGCTATCGATCCTGACACAAACGAAGAACGCAAACCAGAGATTATTACTTTTTATAATCGTACTAAATGTGGAGTAGACATCTTAGACAAAATGTGCAAGCAGTATAGTGTTCTCCGTAACAGCCGTCGATGGCCACTAACAATATTTTTCGATTTAATGAACATTGCTGGAATTAATGCTTTGGTAATCAACCAATTGAATGCTTCACCCAAAAAAAATATTAGGCGTAACTTTTTGCACGAATTGGCCTTCAATTTGATAAAACCACTTTTGATTCGTCGGGCATCAGTTGAAACACTTCCCCAGCAACTTAAATTCAGGATCGGCATACTTTTGGGCAGCACAGCTCTAGAATCCCAAGAATCTCAACACGATTTGACACCAAAGACAGGACGAGTTGGTCGATGTGCACTCTGCTCGAGAGCCCGAAATCGGTCGACAAAAAAGTGGTGTAAAACTTGCTACAAATGGATTTGTCCCGATCACCAAGCAGTTGTGTGTCCTGAATGCTACGAAATTAAAGAAAACAGTAATTAATTGTCGTGTTATTAAAAAAAAATATATTGTTGGCCTCAGAAATGCCATTTTTGTTAGTTTTTCTTACATGTTTACTTTAATGCTAATTGTTCACTATTTTAAATAATATATTTATATTGTAATGTTATAATACTAAGTAAAATAAATAAGTTTTCCATTCCATTTATTATTTTATTGAAATAATTATGAATACCCAATTTATTGACATTTTAATATGGCCTAATATAGTAGGCCACGCGTGTACTTAAGTAAAGAAAAAGGGCGCGTGTACCGTAGTGTTGAAATATGCCTTCTTTTCCCTAACCATGCTTGCAGTCACCAACCTCTTTAAATCCTTATAGTAGGACCTATGATTATCCGAATTAATCTGTCTGTAAGTCTTAAGTGCCTTATCACGCAATTCAATCATGAATTTAAGATTGTCTGTGATCCAAGGCAAAGTCTTATTTGCCCTAGTACGCAACAATCTAACTGGAGCATGTCTATCAAATAAGTCTACCAACAGCAGGTTGAATCTGCTTACCATATCCTCAACACTTGATTGCTCGTTAATGGACTCCCAATTCACCGACTCCAAATCCTTTTCAAAACTATCAAATTCAATATTTTTCAACGGTCTGTATGAAACTACTTTAGAAGTAGTTCTAGGCTTCTTCAGATTTATCACACAATTTGATGAGATGAATGAGATACGAAAAAGTTTAAATAGAACATGAGTTGTTTATTGAGTTTTGAAAATTTAATTACTTTTTTTTCGAAATTTGAAATAAAACTGGAAGGGTAGATTGAATTAGGTTTAAAGAACTTTATTCTCATAAGAAATTTACATTTTACTTATAATGAGATGAGTATGAATACAATAAAATTATATTATGCTAAGTTTGCACTGTTGTATAATCTTGTATATGTTGCATAAGTTTTTTTTTAAAAACACTTATGTTATTACAAGTCTTAACGTCATTAGGTAGTTGGTCAAATAGCTTTGCTCCCTCATAAACTATAGTCGTTTTCCCGTAATTAGTTCTAGGCGTGATTAATTTAATTTTCTGTCTATTCCGAAGATTATGTGTATTTTCCTTTATATTTAGTTGTATGTCAGATTTGAATGCGTTAGTCGTTATTTTCTTTACCAATATACATGTATAATATTTGTATAGTTGGGAGAGGTAAAGTAATTTACTTTTCTTGTATAGCTTTTCAGTTGACATTAGAAATGGATAATGAAATAATACCTTGATTATTTTGTTTTGAGATCTTTGCAGTGGTTTCAAATTAGTCGGTGCAGCGGTCCCCCAAATTTCTATTAAGTACTCAAGATGTGACGTTATTAAAGAATTGTATATAATTGCTTTGACTTTTTTTTGGTATGCAGTGTGCATTTTTACTGTTGGTTTCAAGTACTTACCACGGCCTCACAGAAAACCGACGTGAAGCAACGCTTGCGTTGTGTTTCGTCGTATGAGTGAGGGTACCGGAGGCCCAACCCCTCCTTATTCCCTTCCCTCTACCCCTCAACCCTTCCCACCCAATGATCATATTCGTCCCTCAAAGGCCGGCAGCGCGCTTGTAGCCCCTCTGGTGTTGCAGGTGTCCATGGGCGACGGTAATCACTTACCATCAGATGATCCGTCTGCTCGTCTGCCCCTATCCTATAAAAAAAAAATAATGTTTATAGTAAATAGTAGTATAGTTTGATGTAGCCTCGAATTTTAAATTTATTCGATTAAATATAGAAAAATATCTTATTATATACCAAAAACTTCGAAAATAGCTCCTATATTAATGTTATTGAACAAAACTAGTACCAAAATAATTATTAATACATAAAGATTAAATATTTTTTATCCTTTTTCAACAAAAATAAATAAATTACATTACAAATAAATAAATAAACAAACAAACAAACAATCATATCTTCCCTCTTTATAATAGTTAGTATAGATAATGTTCTTGTTTTATGATGTAGTCGATGGTTTTCTTGGTGTTTGTAGATTTCTGTATTAAAATAAGTTTGACTTCATGAAGAAAATGAATCTAGAGAGTTTTTTTTTAAACTGAAATAATCTAAAATATTTAATTAAATATGTAAATAATAATTAACATAGAGTTATAAAGAAATATAAAGTATTCATTGATAAAAACAATCTATGGCTACGGCTACAGTTATATCTGATAGATAGTTAGGCGGTAGCTCTGTTGGTATAAACTGAGTTCCTACCCGCGCCGTTATGTCATCGAGCCAAGGTCTACCCATAGAGATATAAGGTCTACCTTGTGTCTACTAAAGGAAAGAGAAGTATAGCCTATCACGTTTTCGTTTTCCTTTTAAGCCCTTCCACAATATCACGTTTTTTTCCCAACGCTCGTTTTCCAATTTGTCGGCTATCTCGGCTACGAACGAAAAAATAAATTTCTTATTCGTATTATTTTTTTATATATATATTCTATATTCATTTTTTGAGTGATTGAACTCGATGACTTAACGGTTAACATGCATTTAGCCTGCAATTTCAGAGGATTACCAAATTTACAAAGGCCTGCCATTAGATGGGTGACCAAAAATATTATCTTAAGTCGCTACAAAATTCGGAAGGCACATATTTCCTAATGTATCTGTTGTCATTTGCTCCCACCAATCCAATTCCCTATGTTCTTTCTACGGTGTAGATAACAGCTTATGAATTACACAAATGTGCATACACCGAATAAATTTATAATTTAAATTACAATTTATTATCCTATATAATGTGACTAAGTATATAAAATAATTGATGTGAAACAAGGGCAAACCTCAAAATAACTGAATTGTGCGAAATTTCAAGTCGTACATTGTTTTGATCTAAAAGTAGAAATTACATAGTACAGATATTGCTCAATATTTAGTATTATTGAATTACTAACTGTTTTCCTGCGGCTTCATCCACAAACATTATAACCTTTATCACTCTCGTTTGATGTAGCTTCCCATAGGTGTAATATTTTTCATGATCGGATCAGTATTTCTGAAGACAATATTACTTTACAATATTATTATAAAGTAATATTCTTCGAGAATATTACTTCGAGATACATTCTTCTATACTATAAAAGTAAAAATTTACAATATAATTAATATGTATTGTAACTTCTATTTTAAAAATTTAAGATTAGGTGTATTACTCATCTAATATTTGGCAAAGACAGATATTCAGTACAGTACCTAGTACTGCACATTATTCACATTATATCGCGAAATAATATTTCTTCGAAGTCTGTACGAAAAATAACAGATTTCATAACGATAACATCTAAAATAGCCTGAATAAAAATAAATATATTGACAGTAGTTCGTCGAATACTAGCTACCATACAGTAGCAATACTGAACATGCTTCTGGCTCGCGGTTCAAAACTGACGATGGGGCTATTTTGGGAACCGTCTGCCTTGCGGTACCTACACTCCCGCTTATTCCACAGTCGACATTTCTTTGTCTTAATAAAACATTGCCCGTCACCTGTTTTAAAATTACGCATCCTCGATTCGATTTTGCGCGGATGAAAGTGCGCCTTGTTTATAAAAGTATTCCAAAATGGGAAACGTATTCAGTAGTGTTTCAACGACAGTGGAAAGCACAGTAACGAGTGAAAGTGAAATAATGAGTAACAGAAGTGATTCTAGTGACACAAATGGAAATGATAACGTCGATGAGGAATATCTGGACGCTATCAATGAAGATCAAGTTCGAGCTCAAAACAAGGAAGATGAAATGAATGAATTCAGGAAGCAACTGAATATAAAACGTGAGCAAAGAAGGCAAATTTTAGATCGTCATAAAAATGAAAAGCTAGAGTTAGAAAAAGCTTTAAGTAATGAAAGAAAATCCCGATTAGAATTCAGTGAAACGAACAAATTACTTCGGGAATTACTGTTAAAAAATAACATAGAAATTCCAGAAAATCTATTGTCGAATGAAAATGCCGAACTGAGTAGCACTATTGCACAAATGAGAGATGAATTTGAAAATTTAAGGACAAATAACAATCAATTAAGAAGAGATCTTGCAGAATCAAATAATACACTGCAGAAAGCGTATTCCGATATTGCAGACTTAAATTCCCAAAATATAGAATCGTTGAAACATATATGTGCATTAAAAGAAGTAGTATCAGTCAGTAAAACCATGATCGCTCTAAGAGAGCAACAACTTGACGAGGTAATAACCATTCAATTACATATGTATATAGCTTGTTCATTTACTTTGCAGGAAAACTCTAAGGTATTCATATGCATGCAAGACAACGACCGTAAGAAAACATGTGCCTTCATCGGTCATAGACCGCACGAGACTTTCTGAACTACGTCATCTTATTGGCACTGGATCTTGTCATTAGGCCAAAATAAATAATGTTAATAATTATACTATTAAGGTCAATAATTTGTACTTTGAGATATAATTATTTTAAACCGACTTCACAATCGAAAAGGAGGAGGATGCATGTTCACCAATACTTACGCCAATTGTTGACGGATTTCCAAAATAATTTGTTTATTCGATAACAAATCGAGGTGGTCCCATTTAAATTTTTAACGAATTCAGTAGTTTTTCTTTTATAACAAAACAAAATACGCTTTTCATCATGTTAGATTTAATTCAACTAAAAAAAATAGCATATTTTGAATCAGTTTAAAATCCGAAATAAGGATTTTCGATTTGGGATATCACTTAAGAAGTAAATTCGCAAACTATATTTTGTGACACATTAAATAAGATTAAGGGCAAATATTTTTGGAGTTAAGAATTAAAGAAAATAGGCAAACATTTACATACCCCTTCTCACGAAACTGTAGCGCCTAATTAAATAAAAAAGCAAATAATCATTCTTCACCTAATTATTTGTTTACGTATAAGTATATTACTTTTGTATTTAAAATTTCGCATTTGTAGTGAACCCTTTGCGCACGAGGCCGAGTTGCTCTTCGCAAGTTCTTTTTTCATTTCACATTTCTTTGTATTTCACAAGCTAATCTTTCACTTATGTTTCTCTACAGTTAAAAAATAAATTAAACGAAATCGAAAAATCTCTCGCTGATAGGGAAGCCAGCATGTTGTCTACTGACTTGAGACAAGAATATGAGCGACAACTACAGAACATACGAACACTTCGTGGTTTGTATGAGGAAAGAGCTCGCCTCGCAGAAGTTACAAGACAAAGCTTAGTACGTGAACTCGAAGAACAAAAAGTGCTATATCAAGCAGAAGTTAACAAGTAAGTCTTTAATTGAACACAAAGAAATAACCAGCGGTATTTATAAATCACTATAAAATGAAATAAACATTTAACTTGTTCGTTAATTTAATTCAAATATAATAATTATTCGTTATTTTTTCAGATCGAAGAAATTAACAGATAAAGTAAAAGAATTAGAAGACAAAGTAGATGCACTGATTGAAACTATTGAAAATAAAAATAGTGAGATTAGCGTTTGTCAAGATGAATCGATTGGATTGAAGGCTGAAATGACTGTTGTTAACAAGGTAATAATATGTGCCTATTAAAATTCAATTTGAATGATCAGCTTAGCTATTTTACAAAGTCGAGCGCAGAACTGTCGCAGCATTTTCTTCTTTCTGTTTTATATGTTATTTTTAACAAACAAGCATTGCAGTTTTATATTTAAAAACTTGTTTTCAGTTATTTTCGGAAGTTCTTCTTGGTTATAAAACCAAAAAGGATTTGGATAAATTGGTACATCGTCTTGAGGAAAATCATGGTATACTTACACAAATGGCTGAAAGAGAAAATGACACGGAAGCGTCCACTGCTTTACCAAAATTGCTTCTGGAACTCGTAAACCAAATTGAGGAGGAAGAAGATTTAAAAAAGGAAGAAGACCTTCACGATAAAAGTGAAACATCTTCAGAGCAAAACATTAGGGATTCCGGTAATTTGATGTTGGCTTACCTATTATTATCTTATTATATAAAAATCTAGTTTCGGTACGTTTTTATCTCGGGAAAACAAGAAAAGCTGTTGATGAATTTAGTTAATATTTTACTAAACATTTTTTTTATATCAAAACTTTTATAATGTGCTTTAATTAAAGCCATGGTTGATTTATTTAAGTAGTAAAGAAGTAATATGTTATTATGAATATCAAAGATACTAATAAAATTTTATTTTCAGGGACAATAGATTTTGCGTCTACGCCTACACCTGAGGAAATCGTTCAGAAATTACCTAAAGTTTGGAGGGTGCTTATGGAACTGCTAAGTCATCAAAATGTAGCAGAAACAAATACTACAGAGAAAGTAACTACTTGCTATAAATCTGTGGAAACCAAGTCTGGACCTGTATTAGTGCCAAGTGTTAGTCAGACTTATATTAGATTAAAAGTAAGTCACTTTTCAATCGCTATTAAATCTCGAACATTCACGTACATCGTAAATAAATTCGTTGCTAATAAAATGAGAATCATTTTTAAAAATAAGTTTTCATGATCGGTATTTTTCATTGCACATTAAAAACATACACCGCTAAAATATTTTGGTACTGCGCCAACTTAGTTTGTCGAAACTGTGATGTATAATAGATAAGTATCAGCGGGTACTTATCATTAGCAATTTTATAAGTAGGTAGAACTATTTTTCAGGCATAAACGTTGCTCCTTTTGTCTACCTGTTTCTTTGTCGCTAAATATATGTTCGAGAGTAAAGACGCGTGTTTTATTAATTATATAGTCACGGACATAACAGAAACAAAAAAAAATATTGGAAGTATTTTACTATTAATGAATATACTTTAATTTACTTTTAAATACTTCTGTCTTACAGGATTTAATAATGGAAAAGCTCACACTTATCAAAGAAGTTAATCGCATGAAACAGCTCAATTCACATCTTGAAACTCGTTTAGAAAAACAAGAACGACGACTTTGTCTAGTTACCACGGAGTTAAGCAAAACATGGCATGTTGTCGGAAGATTACGTAGACATCATCATCAGTTACATACCCATGAAAAGATACTAAAATATGAACTGCAACAAAAAAGAAAATTGCTAAACGAGCTTAAAGAAGAATTAGAATATTGCAGAGAAAAATGGGAACAAGCAAGAGAAAAGAATTCACAATCTGAAAGAGACTGGAGAACATTAAGAGCTGAATTCACAAGTCGCAAAACAAAATTAGGCTCACCTTCATTCAACAATTCGGGCGAAAGTGGTTACAGTGACGAAAGACCTTCAGATGAATCTTCCGAATCCAATGACGAAAGTGAATATGTCACAGAATCGCCAATAAGATGCAAGAAAAAGTTGAAAAAGTCCTTTGAAACTATTATAGATTCAAGCGCAGATTTTAATTTAGCAGCAGAAAGAGAAGATCCTGCGAGTGACATGTTAGATGTCGCAGATTTACCACATGACGATAGTCATAGTGAAAACATCTCAAGGAATGAGTTAGTTTGTGAGGAAACTGAGGACGAAGTATGTGATATCAATGGAGACCCATGTACGGAAGATATTATTGTAAGACAAAATCTAACAAATGATTCATCGATTAACTCAACAATTTCACAAAATGAGCACATGGATGTCAATAATGCAACTAGTTTTAGAATTTCACAAGTCACATCTTCGACATCACACAGCCTGATTGACCCCAAAGATAATCTCCAAAATGAAAGACTGCCAAATAAAGATGAAAAATTTGTTGAATTGGAGGAAAACAGTGCATCTTTGTTACAGGAAGTGCATCATTCAGCTGAATTTAACAAAGAAGTCAATAAAAATTTGGATCATATTTTAAATCAGCCTACAACTAGTAGAGATGTTCAAAATATTAGCACTATAACAAAAGATAATGAATCGGAATTGTCTAATCAGTCTCTTGAATTAAATGATAAAAAATTTGAGACCTGTGATAGTCATATTAATGATAACAGTGATATAAATACAACGACACAGTCCGGGGAAAATTCAAAAAGAAATATTGATGAATCTCCAGAGCTTAACCGTTTCCAATCAATTTTAGAAAGTATCAAAAGACAAGATGAGCGTCTAGCGGAAAAAGATAAACGGTTTCAAGAATTGGAAGGTGGTTGTTCCGATGTATTAAGCAGTATTAATAATACTCTGCAAACAGGGGAAAATTTAAAGCAAAGATTGACCATACTACATGCTAGAAATATGAATAGTAACGATTTTGAAGACAAATCTGAAGACGAAGACTCTAAAGACAGTTCTTCTACAAACGGAGATGAAGCCGAGCCGTCGACATCTAGCGACATTGATCATGAAGCAAGATTTGCTGCCAGAGATATTCGTTTAAAGAGATTAGAAGAACAAACAAAGTCATTGGTCAACAAAGTAAATAAAACAACATCAAAAGGAGTCAAAATAAATTACAAACTAGAAGAGCTTCACAATATTTACGGTTCCGACAATTCACGTGCCGGAACTCCGTCTGAAGAAAACGAAGACAAAAATGATGACGTAGAAGCTTAAAATGAACATAATAAAGTATTATGGCTGCATAAACACTAGGTATATACTTATACATAGGTAAGGAAAATAAATTTCTCTTATTATTTAAACGTCTGTAATCAAAATTGCAATTGGATAAATTGATTTTAATAAAATACCTTTATGTAGTGTATGTTTTATTTAAAATCTCATATTAATCGAATCAGGTACATCAAGATCGCCAGCGACATAATGTCCACTTGAAGATTTACAATACAACTTATATAGGTATAAACTTACTAACTTTTTCCAAAATAAGTATGTACTCATTATTAGAACATACTTTTTATAAAATTCACTATTCACGTTCATAATTAAAATTTCCGTTTTGGTTTACTAAAGAAACAAATTTTGTAATCTCATTTAAGTTCATAAAGTAAGATTGATTGAGATTGAGAGATTTATAAATTTGTTTTTAGATGTGACCGAAAGGGTAAATCGTTCGTGATGGTGCAGATCTACGAGTATTATTGCATAATTCATGTTCAAAATCATGCCAACTTACAATTTTTGCTGTAGACCTCAGTCTAAAATATTTAAGTAAATTAGTATTAATTTTAGACTTTATTTGCGTAACATCTGTAGATAACATACTTAAAGACTAGTAAATATTTCTTAGACTATGAGACATATAATGAAAGAAACTAGATTAATTGGATATACTGAAAGAATTGGTAGCCGCTAAATTTGGGCTCCGATTCCATAACTCAAACTAGTCCAAACAAACACTGCAAAAATTCTAAAATCGCTATGAATTTACATGAAATACTAAACGATCTCGAAGTTTATGCTACATAGCACCTATGTTCAGGAAAACATAATGAAATTATGAAATTACTTCCCTACGGTAACAATAAAGTATTGCACTTGTTAGCTAATGAAAATTTTCAAGACATAACGTCGTCAAAGGATTATTTCCTTACGAATCACATTAAGCTTTTAGAATTTAAGGCTTCGATCCCCAAACTCTTGAAGTCGAGACTGTTTTCTTCTACGGTGGTGATGACGGCGTGGTGAACCTTGTCGATTGCCTTGGTCGGTGGTACACTGTACAGTTTCCAAGCCAACACTGATAGCAGAAGCATTTCCACTATGGTAGTGCTATTCTGCAATACTGAAATACAAACATTTTATCTATAGGCAAATGGATAGCAATATTTTTAGCATTCAACTCAAAGGCATCCTGATAAAAGATAGAACATAAGTATTTAACATAATCGATAAAACCATCATGAGTAAAGTGAAAAATTGTAAGGAATACAACTACCTAATGTTAGATGACGTATATTCGTTGAATAGACTACTTTCTCGTAATGATAATGTTAACTGCGATAGACATTAGATGATAATTGGAATGAAATTAATAGGTGCGAAACCGGCACTTTTGGATAGACTATGCCAAGCCCACAAATTCCATTCCATTATGAAGTTAATTTATAAATAAGAAGTTTTTTTTCTAAATGTGACGTAAGTCGTTAATGATTTAAAGCTATCGCTATGCTATGCCCATTTCAACACCAGATATCTAATTTATATGCATTCAAAATTATATCCTTACATTATTAAAAAGCAAAGTTTCTCCACTGCGTCTGTTTGGATGTGATAAACTCCACCAAACACATTTTCTTTCGGATTAATTATCCAATGGACAACGTAATTCATGAAGAAGATATTATTTGTAATACATTAAAGATGCAATAATAAGTTTATATTATAAACTAGCTTTCGCCAGCGGCTTCGCCCGCGTGGACCCTAGGGAAATGTTAAATGGGATAAAAAGTCCTATTATCTAAGTCAGCTAACACCCTATCTGTATACCAAATTTCATCAAAATCCGTTCGGTAGTTTCGGCGTGATTGACGTACAAACATCCAAACATCCAAACATCTAAACATCCAAACAAAGAAACTTTCACATTTATAATATTAATTAATAGGATAATCTCATTCCATTAAACAGATGGACTTCTATATTGTCTCGGGTCTGGATGGTACCTTCGCTGTCTCAGATACTCCATAATACGGGAGCTTTAGCTACTCATCTCAGAATCTGAGCATTATATGTAACGCTGTATAATTGATGTTTTAAGAATTAAATAATGGTGTGCAGCAAATCAACTTACAGTTGACAAAGACAGCTGGATGTAGCGCCATGACACAAGGCATTCGGAACATCGTCGGCAACGCTCTCACAATGCCGTACTGAAGCTTGACTATGAAGAGCACCAGCTGTAGAGCGAGCAGTCTCGGTCGGGGCTTCGCACCAGCATTTTCCGCTGCTCGTACGCACATCATAATACCCCAAAGACCCGTCAGGATCGATGTTGCAACCAGCGGTTGAAAATACATGAAATTATGCGTGAACAAGATCTGGAAAGGAGAAAAGTAGATGGTGTATACTCATTCTTAACTGTTTTCGTATTTCCTATTTTCATGGTAAAGTATTAACGAAATATCAAACAAGTTGCTTGAAAACAAATACAATGAGCCGATTTTGACTCTTTATTTGGTTAGCTTAGTACTATTCAACACAAAAACAAATCAAGTTAGCGCTTTGAACCAAACAAACAAACAAACTCTTCGGCTTTATAATATTACTATATATTGATGTGATACAAGATAAAATAGAACCTGCCTTTTTTAAAAGCGGGTGTTTAATCTTACTAATATTATAAAAAGGAAAGATTTGGGTGTGTCTCTGTTTGCACTTGCGGGAAACTTTATCATACGAGGGTAATATAGGCTATATACATAGTTTCAACTTTCATAAGTGATTGTAAAGGCCTAGACTGAATAATTTTGTTTAGCTGGCGAAGGCGCTGGAGAACAACTAGTATGAAGAAAAAAGCAGCTACCAAACGGCGATAATCTTAATATAGAACAAATATCAAATATATAATAATAAAAAAAGATATACTCACAGTGGATGACACTTACCATATCCTCGGCCCATATTATCAGGATACTGATATATACGAGTGCTTGAATCACTGGCATCTGTAGTACCAGATACCGTATACGCAATAAGTTTCGTCTGCAAATTAAAATAGATAGTTATAAACAATGTGATCCGAAGAAAAACAATCGTAAAAAATAAACACATTAGTGACTATTAGAAAGTTTCTATAAGAGCTGACGCGGCTGAGATTCAAATCTGAGAAGAGAAGGCTGAGAATCTTTGTATGTCGCATAACCTGTTATTTTTGCCTTTATAAATAAAAACAAAAGCATACAAATGACCTATGTACTTTTGATAAACAACATTATTACAAATTAAAGGTGGGTCACGAAAAATACAATATATATTAACTCAAATATTTACCGGAACCGATTAAGTTAATTACCATTTTTAATTTTCGGGAGGTCGATAATAGAAGTCAATTATAAGTGATATTAGAGGATCATTCAAACATGAATATGAATAGATAATACATTAAAATAAGATCGACCTAAATATTTATTTAAAAAAGTTAAAGGAAATTGAAATAGTAAAATGAAAGCTGAATGAAAGCCTAATGTGAAAGGTATTATTATAAAAAAACATCGCCGTCGAACATACTTCGAACCTCTTCTTCCTTTTCGATTTTGAAATCGGTTAAAAAGACATGCTTTTTCTGTGTTGATTCTTTTAATTTTTTTTAGAGTAAGTAAAAATCGTTTTCCATTGACGTTTCTTCATGATTTGAAATTACAAAAAAAATGTAAAAGTTGTCCGAAGCATTTTAATTTTCAAAAGAAAACTTTTAATGAATAGGTCTTTTAATAAAAACAAAGTTACGAATTATGGACGCGTAGGTATAATTTTTCTAAGGTGCTGAAAATGATTAAAACCTATAATTATGAGCTACTTAAAAAGTTTAAAAAGAAAAGCTTTGCATATCGTTAGAAGTGTCAAAAAGACACCCAATTGTGTTCAAAACTATTATGCATGGGCCAATGAAATTACAGAACACTAATTAATTGTAAAGCCACTAGATTCTACCAAAGCTTACCTTTGCAGCTGTGGTCTTGGAATAATGCAGCATGGCCAGCAACAGCAAGGCAGAACTCTTGTCTCCAGGCGGCAGTCACCAGCCCGTCTGAAAATCATAAAAACAATTTATTTAGTAATTATAGTTGCAGAACTATCAGTCTTTATATTTTTCATTCTTATATTTTTGCTAAGGTTTTTATGTGTTTATCAATAATTACGGAATTTAAGCAACTTACACAAGGTCGGTCCATCCAATATACTATGACCAAAAAAATTATTAATTTGAGCCACCTGAGAATCGGAATGCACGTTAAGCCTTTGGTCCTAGATGCATTTGTAGTCTTTAGTTATACCAATATGGCCGCGTGATGGATTATGACCCGTTCTCCTTATTTTCTTCCCACTGAGTACTGAAGGCGTATACCTCAGCAGTGGAGACATCGTTAAGTTAATATTGTTGATATATTTGTGGAGGAACTAACTAAGTACTATATCTAAAAGTATTGTTGCCATTCAGGAACTTACGAGATGAGTCTGTCGACGCCACCGCAATCGATGATAACCATACAAAAGAAGTTATAGAGGGCCAGCATGACCACTTGCTGGGCAATCGCCTCGCATAGCAGCGTCGCTCTTGGTACTATGGTAGCTACGTATGCCGACGCCGCTACCACCTAGAAAAACAATAGACAAAACATTTCATCATCAATCCTTTTATGTGTCCACAGCGGGAGCGCAGGCCTTCCTTATGGTCGGTCAAGGGGGATGGGCTATGACCTTTTACGCTGGCTCAATGCGGATTGGAACCAACGACTTCTGAAAAACGGAGTAGCTCAAAATATTAACTTTTTGGTCACCCATCCCGTGACCGACCCTTGCGAAAGTTACTGAACAACAATGATAGCGGACCGCGGCGCTTACCAACTACGCTACCGAGCTTCTCAAAGAACATTTATTTTCCATCAATTATACGCAAATTTGTAGTGAATAAGCGAATAGTCGTTAAGCAACTTTTGAAAGGGTCGGTTACGGGATGGGTGATCAAAAAAAATATTATCTCGAGCTACTCTGTGCTTCGGAAGGCACGTTAAGCCGTTGGTCTCGGCTGCATTTGCAGGCGTTAATACCCTCCAATCCGCATTGGGCCAGCGTGGAGGGTCATGGCCCATCCTCCTTAACCATCCATAAGGAAGGCCTGAGCCCCTGCAGTGGGAACGTAAAAGGACTGGTGATGAATACGCAAATGAACTACATAACACATTGCTCAGATAGGTATCTAATTATATCAGTAGCTAAAGTATGGAAATACAAAAAAAATACACCTACACCAGATACGAGAAAAGAAACAATATTTTTAGATTGACCCAACCAAATGTCGAACACGGAACACTAAAACTGTTAATCAATTAAAATACATAACATATTGTCGACTAGCCGTAAACAGGTTACGCACTTGCCCCGGGCACCAGTGATAGGAGGCCCCAAAATCATCATATACCTATCCACATTCCACAGTTAAAAAAAGAACGAGCTTTACAAATATTTTCAAATACTTTCTAAATCCCTAAATGAAATAAAATATCATACACGGCAAAAATGTGATGATTTAAAATCCGGATTCACGGAGTGTAAAGAAGGGGGAGTAGAGGAAGGGCGCCGTACGAAGTTTCTGCTCCGGTAAAAAAATCTGTAAACCCAGGCCTAGCCGTAACTTTAACACTTTAAGAATTCGAAGGAGCTACTTATTATACATACAAATAATAGGTGCATACGTTTCTAATACTAGCTATGTGTAATAATATGGCGCTCCCGTTTTATTCGACAGATAGTATAAATCTTTATTTTAGGTACCTAAAGAGGTGGACGATATTAATAATTAAATAAAATTACAACAAAATGCATTTTATAAAACAAGCTGTCGTTACTAGTACACAAGTTCAATGATGGCTACTTTTTTTGTATTTTACTTGCTTATAAAAACAAGCTATAACATTATTTTGATTTTTTTTAATGAGAAAATAATATAGCAATACCTGTTTAAAGTTAATTTAATGCAAAAATTTGGAAAAACAGGGGGACCAAAAGTGATCCTTGTGGTATAATAAAAACACAAAAATTTAATAATTGAAGCCGTTACCGCTACATAAGACATCATTAATATCTAAGAAAAATATTTAAAAAATAATATTGGTCCTAAGGGCACATTCATAAAAATATATCCAAAGAAAGAGTTATAGTTTAACGAGCTCACACACACCCGCAAAAAGGTACAAAGAAAGAATCTAGATCAACAAAACACATTACTTTGAACTATTATAATAACTAAATAGGCAAAAAAATATAAACAATGTTGATATTGTTGTGTAAGAATACAAAACATCTTAACCATCATGGCAATTATTGTGAAAGCAAATTGTTCTAAATGTTGCCCCCATAAAAGCAAATGAACTCTATTCACTCGAAATATAAAAGCTTACAGTAAAACTATTGTGAGAATATTTTTCTTTTTAATTCAAACAATGGGTTATAGATAAAGAAACATTTATTTTGTTGTAAAATGGTACAAAAGATGCTTTACATTTTGTATTAATTAGTTATACGAAGTAAATAAATAAAGATTATAAACAATCTTGTAATCAAAACAAATTTAGCTAAACGGTAATTATTTTATTCATTTATTATATTTGATAAATTTTTCATCGACGTTGCTATACCGAGAAATATTCTTATTGAAAAATCATTAATAATTCACTTGACCCATGTACTTTGAGATGGGACTCGACCTTTCGCAATCCCAACCTGTTACTATACGAATACCTTAGGACTAATTGTCTAATTTTAATACCTATTGCATCGCTTACAATTTTAAATTTGAAATAATTAAAAAAGTTAGCGCTATAACTATTTGACTTGAGATAGCGATTGCGATCGTGGTGTTTTTTTAAGAAATTGAATTGAGACACCGTGGTCAATAGTTGATTATGTGATTTATCTTTTTCATACATTATTTATTAAGGAATTGTCAGAAAAAATAAACTGTGCAATTGAAGATGGGTAAACGAAAAACACTTTTGTTAAATATACTTAATGAAAAATGCTTTTGAAAATAAAAAATTAAAAAAGCTGCCGCCCGAATTGCGAAAAGTCGTGGGCTCGAGTCCCATCTCAGAATACCTGGAGCCAGTGAATTTTTTTATTAAGAATATTTTATTAATGTTGAAAAACATGATATATATTCATATTCTCAAAGAAAACTTGTCACTTTATATAACTAAACATAACTTGACGTATCAATAAAAGATGTAAATGTGCATCTTATAAAACACTTTAGTGTCACTGCAATAGAGAACACTATTGGATATCAATAAATATGACTATTCTTCTTTTATAATATCTTATTTTACATTCAAACAGTAATTAGTGTTATTAATATTATAAAATATAAAAATAACATAAGTAATATATTTCCTTTTTACCCATACAAATAAACATTAATTAGAGCTTAAAGGCGTCACTAAACCATAATGAACATTTGTGCAACTGACCGTTATTCAATATAAAGTACTCCGTATTTTGTGCAGGTCTAGTAATAAAATATTTCGTAAAGCTATCAACCGACCTTACGGCATGGGTACAAATATAGCGTGGCATACTAATTAGAAGCGGTCAAGTACATTGTGACAATACTTATTAAATTGCAAAGAAAACAATGATAAAATATACAAAATCAAGGTCGCTTATAATAAGTATTTCATGCGTAGCTAAAATAAAGAGAGTAGCTATTACACATTGTTTGATAGCAGTAACAGTGCGTCCGATTTATTTTGTAAACAAAACACTATCGATAAATATATCTGTTGCATTGATATAAAAGTAATTCCGATATATTATCTGTAATACCACTTATGTTAAAAGGTAGATAGTTAATATATTTCTAAAATTTTAAAGTTAACCATCAAATTAGTACCCAAGTTAATTCTACTATTAGTCATCGAACGAAAATTCTGAAAATTTGGAGTCGTTTGTATAACATTGAATAGACTCCGAAACTGGATCTATTTTGAAATTTCTTTCACCTACGGAAAGCTACACGAGTGACAAGGGCCATAATCACATTTACATTCTGCTATAATCATTGATTATAGGTATAGGTACACACGTCTATAAATCAAAGGTAAAAACGTAAATTACAGACGTTTCGCAATCGCGGGAAAGTCGTAGTAAAACATCATTACACTAATATTCAACAAAATATAAAGAAACAAATTACGTAATATACTTATTACATATAAAACCATAGTTTTAATGAAGTTTTATAAGAAGAAATGAGTTACTTTTTGGTGGTTACAGTAATAATGAAGGAATAAAATCTTGGGGAATTAGATAAATGTTTGAAGTAGAGTAAAAAAGAAGGGATGACATAATTATTAGTCGTTCCAACGTACTAGCCTTATCATAACATTGCAAAACTGCAAGACGCAACAGCGAATCTAAAAGAGCGAGGCAGTTTATACCGAAAGCAACTGTGGCTTCGCGGGCGCATTGCGAAATGAGCGCATGGAACTTATGCAATAATGACCCCTAATAGTAATTTCATAAGGCGAAAACATTACTTTAATAATTTTATTATATCATAACACAATATGAGATAAAAAAAAACTTTTGGTAAGTGTAAGTAACATTTGAAGATGTGTGGAACAAATTTAAATTAATAAAATATTCCTATCGGATTTACCAAAAAAGTTGTTCCATTGAGAAAGAACGTTGACCTGTTTTAGTTGGAGAGAGTCAAGGCAAGACAGATCAATATGCCGTTCTCGAGAAGGTAGTTAAGCCCCTTAACAAAACCATGTTTAAAATAACGAAGTATTAGTCCTTTCAGTAATACTCGGTGCCAGGTCATAAAGCTTCGATCCACAGAATCTTGGTTAGAAGCGAATCTTGGTAGAATGTTCCGGACTGATCTTAATATGCTTGATTATGATTTATGTTCAGTTTCAGAGTAATTTGGAGTCTATAAAACTGACCATACAATTGACAGTTAAGAATATTTAAAGAATAATATAACTGGCCTCTATGTTTAAAGGACTGTATTGAAGCCAATAAAAGACCACTTCAAATAAGTTATATATATTTTTAATGACTTGTATTAATGTGCAAAGAAAAAGTATTTCTCTAGTTTTTAAATGTAGATGTTATGGAGTGCATAAAAACTCTTTGGTTTTCTAATACTGCCAATTTAGAAAAATGTCAAACTATTAAAAATCTTACATATTAAAAAGTGTGTGATGTCGAACGAGAGTTTACATTGTCAATCCTTTTTATTAAAAATTGATTAATGTAAATTAAATTAACACACTGTCATAGTAATAAATGTTATGTTGAATAAAAATATTTATGGCAAGACTATGTATATTATCTTAAGATGAAATATTATAATTCTTCACCGTCTGTTATTCTGCATCTCGAAAACATTTTGCTTTAACTTGCTTAGTATATGACAGAGACTAGATGTTTTCTCGCGATTTCGCTCGCATAAATGTTAGTCTATATCACCCGCGTATGCTGGAGTTTTACGAAAATGAAAAAAAAACGAATTTACCGCTTTATAATATTGGTATAAAAAACATAAAACAAAATTTTAAGGTTTAGGAACATTAATAACCAGCACCGTATAATGCAGCCTTTTATTTTTATAGCCTTAATTGAACAACAAAGTTTTTATTATGCGATATAACTCGCCGTCATCAGTGAAAGGGTTATCGTGACACGATTCCATTACAGTAATCGAAGCGGGATGTTGCTATACACATGTAATAGTTTCCTTCTTTAAAAATTGCTTTGGCATCATAGCAATATTTCCATGACTAGATATGTAGTAGTGAGAAGCTCGATGGTGCAGTTGCACATTTAAGTTTACGTTTGCGGTGGTGAAACAACTTTGAAAAAGACTCACTCATCCATGCTACGTCATACCACACTGAGTCCATATGGTAGGTACTTACGGCCCGTTTTTTCTTTCAACCGAAAATATATCATCACTGGAGGACGTCAATTGACGAATATTTGTAATATATGAAGTAATTTATACTATATTTGTATTTGTATTTAGTGGCTTTCTAAATGGCGGAAGAATGGCAGCAACCTTAACAGCTATAGTTAAGAGTTTTTATTAAGTTTAGAGAATGGCAAAAGAGAATTGGCATCAATATCTGTAGTTTCTAGTTAGGTACTGTCTCCTATCCAACGTACCTCGTGGCAGCTTGCAAATAAAGCACCACATAAACCCAAGCTACGTTTCGTTTGTATCTAACATTTACTATGTTTATATTTCGTAATATTCCTAAGAAATAAATATATAGTTACAGAAAAAGTTCCCTGCCCGATACACATATTTTAGTAAAAAAAATGCGGTAATAAAATGCTGAATGGGCTAAGGAATCAAGACTATAGGATCATATAAGTTATAGTAACTAGTAACTAGATATACTTAACAAAAAATGTCAAACTTTTCCCATGCCGAAAAAAAATCAATCTAAATTTAAACTCTAAATTTTCTTTCTTACTAATGTTACTCACAGGATACTTGTCTATACTCACAGGATACACGGAGAGTACAATTGTCGCATATGTCGTGGAGCTCCGGGAATGTCTCCACACTGCTCGTACACTCAGCAGGTATAGAAGACATATAGTCAGCAAAATAACGAATCCACTGACCCATAGTCCTATAGCGTAATTCTGGAGAGCTGAAACAAATAAGGTGAAATTTTTAAAGATCATGACTTTACAGATTGAGTAGGTATTGAGAGACATTATATAAATTCAATAATAAAATAAAGCCAGCGAAATATATCGAAACATTATTAAACATATGCACTTAAAAATATCAACACGGTAGTCATACGATAATTTGAAAATAAATATGAAATTAATGAACAATAATTATAAATTTGAAAAAACTTTAAAACCATTTTATTAAAATTTCTTTTAACGTGGACGAGTTCATACCCGTACTTGTTAACACAGCTAAACTTAAAATGGAAACTTACAACATATCGGAAACCGGATTTCGATTCAACGAATATAAGCCTTGTTGCAATGCAGGTGATTTTATTGGCCCTTTTCCTCAGAGTCGAATATAATTTTCCACGTTAAATTATAAATTAAATTTATACTGCCTGTATATAATACGGAAGTAGTTTTGCATTCGAAACAATCGCGACGCAATCAATGGATTGACGTAAATATTTTTAGATATTAAGTTTATTTATATTTAACTGATTTTACTATATTTTTATTTATAGGTTCGAACAAGAATCATATGTTATAATCAAGCGTGCTCACAGCAAAACAACGATTAGGTCACACTGGCGACCAGCCTCGGCACAGATTTGGCACAGACGCAATATCATAGACAAACTAATTTTATTTTAATTTTAGTCAGACTGGTGCAATTTAACAATAGTAGGTTTTATGTCTATTGCCTAGTACAAGTTTAACATTAATAAGTGGGCGCTTACATTCAAAATCACTAACTAACTACTGATTTTATACATAGATATAACCTCCAAATAAACTATAATTAAAAATGGTAAACTTCGTCATTTTTCGAAGAGCTTTAAATCACACGCAAAACGAGATTTTATGAAGTCTTCACGATAAGTGCACTATTTTTCATTTCTTGTTGTAATTCAATTTATTATACAAGTTAAATTTATAAATATACGTGAAACTTTATTTTTAAGTTGCGAAAAATGATTGGGTTTTAGCGAAGTTGTATTAAATTGAAACTTTTAAATCACGGAGTTGTATAATGGCATAAGTATTGTTTCCTAGCTTTGATTAAATCTCTTTTTTTTCTGTGATGATAATGCTAAAATAATGTGATTGAATCAGCGCAATTTGATAACATTTTTTTCCTGTATAAATATTTTTCAATACCGATAGCGTATCGAGAGCGACCCTATAGTGTAAATCGTGCCTTATTGCGTTCAAACAAAGAACTGCGGGGAATTTTTCTGCCTTTCGTATTATAAGACAGTAATTCGCGATCGGATAAATCTCTTTTTTATTAATAGATATGTATTTACTTTTTAAAATATAAATGTTAAGGATGGTGTAATAAAATAATTTAGATCTTCACAGATAAATAACATGCAAGTCTTGTTATTGATGCAAGGTTGTATCAATTATAACTGAATGACACCACTAAATTGTACTAATCACCGCCAACTTATTAATGTGCCCACTGCTGGGGCTCAGGCCTTCCCTGTGGATGGACTGGCAATTTTAGAAAGATAAACGGAGACTTAAAAGAAACATTTAGGTCCAGATAACTCAAATAAATCGATTCACCTTAATTTAAAAATAATTTAGTATCTTATAATGAAAAATGCTTAATGCTTGTATTGTTAATTCAAAATAATAAGTTTATTAGCTATATAGGTTGTATACTTTAGATAATATTGATAGTATATAAATACGTTTGCATATATTAGAAAGTAGTAAGTTAAGTGGTATTCGCGTGCAGAAATATTGTATAGGTAATAGGTACCTATGTTACGTAGATCTATTTATAAGCGTGGGATTTTATTCCATTTAACAATTTGTACTGGATTTCTGAAATGAAAAATATCTACAAGGTAATCATACGAATTAACAGGACACCCGACACATATCTTCGAAAACGAAATTACGTCTATTTTTGATATGGTAATATGACTCCAAAGAAACGCATTTTTTGATAATTTGTGATGCAACTGAGGGAGGAACTTACATTGCCTCTGAAACACAGATAACCTTCAAAGATAGGATTAAAAAATAAATGAGCATGATTTAAAATTTTCCGAATTTTCTTTCGAGGACTAATAGAATAGACAAGGTGCATTGTTAATTCGTACGAATTATATACAAAGTACTACTATTTTATGCGATACGTTGATGAGGACTGGTTAGTTTTGCTTTTCTCTAAAAGTAATGAACGTCGAACATGGCATCCAATACATACAGCCCTGTCTTACCCTATAGATTCAATCAAATGAAACCTTTATTACAACTAGAAATAGGTCTAATCTGTGGCAGTGTTATAATCGACTTTACGTTGGACCCTAATTTTTTATAAATAGTAAAGCCATTTAATGGAAATAAAAGTTTCGATAAAGCCGTTTTAAGATATCAACTTACTAACTGACGATTGATAAGACTGTAATAAATAAACTCTCGAGAAGAAGTAATGTTATTTAATTAATAATGAATAGTTCGCGTGAAAATATAACAAACAACAGAATGATTGTTTTCAATGCAGTTGCTCATAAATGATTGTTTTTCAGAAAAAACTTTGTAAACGAAAGAAATGTGTGATATGTATTTCGAGATTAACGCATCTATTCAATGAAGACAAAAACGACGGTATTAAGTAAAAAGCTCTTAAATGGGACTTTGTAAACCCATTAAAGTTAATTGGTCATGGAGAAAATTGTGTATTGTAAAATAAAGTTATTATGATACTTATAACTTAGTATAATTTATTTTCAACTTTTGAATAAAGGATGAAATTAAATTAAAAAAGCGCATAAAACTCAAAAGCGGTCGCTTCATAACTCTATGAAACAAAATGTTTTATATAAAATTTCCATATTTGTTAGCATTTTGATTATGGTCACAGAAACACGTTTTCTATAAAAATGTCAAGTATCTTGTTATCATATTAAGGAGACAGCACAAAGACTAACAACGACCGCTTATTATTATTCCTATAATAAAAGCTTCGGTATTGAATTATAATCAATAATTTGTTTAAACTTTTTTTTAAAATTCTTTGGTAATCAGAAGGCCTACTTTCTGTTTCTCTGAAAATGAAATTTCGTCTTTATTCGATAATTTATGATGCAACGGAGTTAGGCTGACAATGCCTCTGATGCACAGATAATCTCCACAGATTTGATTTTAATAAAATTATGAGAATGATTCAAATTTTTTCAAATTTTTGTTCGGGAAGAAACAAAGGAGGCAATCTTATTGAAGTGAAGTTCGTTATTTCGAACTTAAATTTCGAAATAACGAAAACTCACGTAGTCGATGCTCTACATTTAATCGGCATTAGCATTAGCAGAACATAAAATTATTTTATCAATTAAAGTAATTAAAATTAAGTTTCGTCCGTAATAATTATGACAGCCACAAGGGTATTTACGTGGTTAATAAAACCGGACGTGTTGAGAAAGTTGCCGGTTGCCCTTGACCTGCTCACCACGTTTTCCGGAATGACCAAATATACATATAAAAAAAGTAAGTAAAACGCCCATAAAAAAGAGCTTACCTGAAAAATAGGACGCGAAATCTGGTTGTAAACTATAATTTTGACACAGAAGTGCAGTCGCATTGATTGAATTGTCAATTTCTGTATAAGTTTTCTCATTTATATGACGAGTGCTTAATTTACGGAGCCCGGTATCACCTTCTTGTAATAAATCCATGGTTGATGTGTTAAAACAGTTTGTGTATCACTTAAACTTCATTTATATTATTCTATTTTTAATTATTAAAAATTCGATACGATAGCATTTGTAATTTAAATTTCGAACTTTGGGAGAATAAAAAGCGCGCGACGTATACGTTACAAGTGTAGAGGCGAGTTAACCGCGGCCAACACTGTCGTGAAGGCAGCCACAATCGTAGCAGCGGCAGCGTTGCGCTCACTTTCTTTCGACATTTTAGTGGTCTGCGCAACACAATTATATTTTTAGTGATGTTCGTAACCAACTCATAGAGTTGTATGACACAGCAATATTTAATGAGAATTATTTTAAAAAAATCTCTTTCCAAACAAATTTCCTGTGTAGTATTAATCGATGACGACTCTATAAAAGTTATATAACAATGACAGTGAAAATAATGAAGTAAATATAATTAAGAGGCCAAGATAGTCCTCACCGTGTAATGACAAGTGGCCACTACACTAAAGTGCTTTAACTCTTTTGACTGACTCTATCTTTCAGAAGTGACGGTGAATGAGTTATTTTTTATGTGAATCTCAAATTTATTTTTACATAATTACAATGTTTAAGAAAATAGACAATTATTTGCCGCCTTTTCTCCGAAACTGCTGTTCAAGATTTTTGAATTAGTTCTAAAAATAGTTTTTTCCATGGAGATCATGGACTCAGACTTTATAATATTCGATTAATTCAAACTTTATTGGTACATCACTAATCTTGGCAGTATGAGGTAACGCATAATCACCATCTCACCCAACCATCACCCGACCGACTTTATGCTTCGATAATCGTTCAGCAGGTTACCTCTATTAAAAATATCCACAGTAGAAATCTCCACATATTATAAAAATAAGAAATTATTTTTTCAAAGAATAGGAATACCTCAGTTCCAAAATCAGTCGAATAAAATAATAACTTTGAAAATCGGAGAACATATGTACATAACAAAAAAAACAAACATCGCCGTCGAACATATAACCTCCTCCGTTTCGATTTTGAAATCGGTTAAAAGTTAAAGTTCGTAATAAATTTCTTTGGAAGATCGATAGGTTTCTTACCTACTTTTTAATAATTTCATGAATATCAATTATTTAGAGTGCGCGGGTGTAATCTGTACTCAACTACAGGAAAAATTCTAATCATCAGGCAAAATTTTATTTTGTTTCATTACGGTAAATCATACCTATACACTTTTATTCTCTCTTTGTTATGGTTTCTTACACAACGGGTAAAAACCTATTGATTACTGAGACTGTCTGTTAGTCCGTCTGTCATTAGGCTTTTATCTCATGAACTGTGATAGCTAGATAGTCGAAATTTTCACAGATGGTGTACTTCTGTCGCCATTATAACAAAAAATACTAAAATGAAAATAAAATAAATGTTCCCATACAACAAACGTCGTATTTGCGTTGCGTTTTTATAGATATATATAACACGAAACTCGTCAAGCAAGAGTCTATATATAAACACGTTACTACTTATGATACTTATATATCTCTTCTTACTGGATTCGGAGGCTGATTAATTTTTTGTCAATATAACAGATACCTACAGATTTATAACTATTCATGAAAGAATCATGACAATATCAATAAATCTTAATAATCATCAATTCTTATATTAAAATATGTTAAAAGATAGATATGTAAACGGTTCTATTAGCGATACTATTATATGGCGATAGTACACCATAGTTTTGTTTACTGATAACAATTTTTTCCTGTATAGGTGTGATTGTTCAGAAATATCGGTAGTGATGATCTCTGAACTGAAAGATTTATTTAGAATACTTATCTACCTTATCTACACTTCTTTATAGAAAAATAACAGAGAACAAATAATAAAAAGCTCAAGCTCGGTTTGCGAACTGTATTAAAATGCAAAATTTATCCTAAACAAAAGCCCATTTTTTTTCAATTTACACAACTTTACTGGGTCCGTTAAGTCCAATAAGACTTCTTTGTATGAATTAAATCAGGGAGAATAAAAGCAGCCCTTGCTGAGCTTCTTGCCGGTTCTTCTAATTACAAGTTCTCCCGCCGTAAATTTGCGGACCGATGGCATAGTTTTCGAAATTCACAAGTGCTTTTAACAGCCTAGACTGATGATGATATTGAATTTAAATTCCATAATTCTTATGAAGTTATGACTGCCTATGTATAAATAAATAATAATATTTAAATATGCTGTCAACTGATTTAAAAAATAACATTTGACATTTTATTTATTCAGTTCCAGACAGGCAGACTTAAAATCCAAGCCGCTTAGCGTTATATTAAACTAGCTTTCACCAGCGGCTTCGCCCACGGGGACCCCTAGGGAAATGTTAAGTGGGATAAAAAGTCCTATTATCTGAGTAAGCTAATGCCCTATCTGTTTACCAAATTTCATCAAAATCCGTTCAGTAGTTTCGGCGTGATTGACCGACAAACATCCAAACATCTAAACATCCAAGCATCCAAACAAAGAAACTTTCCCATTTATAATATTAATATTAGGATGATAAAATCACAAAATCAACACGTGGAGATAATTCATTCATTTGTTCTAATACAAAAGAAGCGTTTCAAAAGTCAAGACAAAAGGTTATGGTTATATTTTAGCTCAAAGGAGTAATCCTAGGAACAATAGTTTCTACTTCATCCAAGGAATAATGAATTTAACAAAAGCGTTCTTTGTTCAAAATTTTCTTGTGTAGCCAAAAAAAGAAGGTGTATTATTAAGAAAAAAAACAAAGGGTAAAATGCATATAGAAAACTATTGAGGTATGTACTATTTTACTACATCGATAACAACTCGACCATGTTAAACGACTACATAAAACGACAATTAAAATGTTCATCACATTATATCAATTGTTTTTAAATGTCAATCATTCTTATCACAAATAGAGTTAAAGTAACCAAAATTATTTTCATAAAAACTAACTAAGCAAATAACGTCAAATCCATTTCCCTTTATTATTTGATGAAACTATCACATTGCACTTATTTATATTATGATCATTAACATTGCGAACTTGCACTAAAAAACTTTTATTTTATTTCTGTGTCTTAAAATAATATCCATATTGTACAGATGTTTTTATTCACCGCTAGGGGGCGCTAGCTCAGTTTAAGCTTTCTAGAAATAAACATAGTATTATTATGTACTGACAGTACATTGTATATTGGGTTTTCGTTAAGTATTTTTATTGCATGATTCATGAAAAGGTGATACAAAAATAAATAAAAAAAATGTACTTATTAAATAGTTAACACAATAACCTATCTACACGAATTGATTGTTATTCCTTTAAATATCAGTAACAATGAATTTAATAATGATTCGGCTTCATAATAATAGAATAAATAAAATATAAATACCTATAATAAACGTGGACGAATAAAGTCATCCTCGATAATAACATAACATAACAACGGCTTGTAAATGAGACGTGGCGACTTTAAAGTGGTGTGGGCAATAGCGATACTATTAAAATTAATAAGTCTGTTATTCATCACTAGATGGCCATAATAGTAAAAATATAAAATTTAAAACTGCATTCAGGTAAAAATAATGAAATGAATAAAGCAATAAGGTGACCCCACTACAATGATAATTTTGTACATACTTGTTTGAGATTTTGTATACCTATAGTCAATTATTTAATCACCAAAAGATTTATCTTTCGTATATCAAATTTTTAATAGGTATTATCTCAAGCTATTAGTCTATAATTAGGTACACTTATAATAATACAATATCGATATCATTATCATGTCATGTGCTGTTAATTTATTCCCTTTTATTATTAAAATCATATCAGTTTAATTTGAAGGTAGACATATTTTAAAAGTTAATTTCGGCCTATATTAAAATTTCACAAATTCTTGTTAAAATTATTATATTATATAATTCAATAATTATTCGCTTCCAACAATTTTCTGATTATACAGGAAGAAAAATTACTCATAAAAACCTGAAATAAATCTACTTATGTAAAAAAATAATCTGTCATCCTTTATTATGTTACAAAACCAGTTTCCTAATATGATAATAGTCATTCATTAAGTAGCCATTAAATAATTTTCGGCACTTAGTCCGCAATGACTTCACTGACGTAAAAATAATAATAAACAAATTCGCTTACTTTCAAATATGTATAAAAAATGCTTAAGCATTTTCATTAATGATACTTATTAGTATATATAGCATTATTTGCATTTGTAATGCTATATATAATCTGTCATCCTTTATTATGTTACAAAACCAGTTTCCTAATATGATTATAGTCATTTATTAAGTAGCCATTAAATAATTTTCGACACTTAGTCCGCAATGACTTCACTGACGTAAAAATAATAATAAACAAATTAGCTGACTTTCAAATATGTTTGAAAAATGCTTAATCATTTTTCATTAAAGATACTTATTAGTATATGTAGTATTGTGAATGCAAACTTGGCTAAATATACCAGTTAACTTTTGTTTATTATTTTTTTAACTGATGTTATTTCAAAGTTCTACAAATAAATTAGAAGCAATTAAATGATATACATCACACAGTATCAATCACATTTACATCCCGTTACGTAATAAAAAACACTAGATTACTCAAGTAAATATGTACTTTGTATAAATATTGAACTCTCATTATAACCATTACTATTTAAAGCTAATTGCTTTAAATAGTTATTTTAATGTAAATGGGTACAGACATTTTAAATACCACGATAAACAAATAGTCGTTGTCATAATAACAGCTAATATGGGCAAAAAAAGTATTTAGGATATATATGAATCACCATTACATTAGTCAGTAAGTAACATTAAGCGATTTCCGATGATGACTGTAGTACGAAATGTTGTTGTTAAAAAAAGAGCCAACTAATACAGTCAAAGCTTTAATGGCTTCAATACATCTGTGGTGGCCGTTTGACAAAAAATAACACGTACAGCAGTGTCTGCTCAGGGCAATGTCCGATTTGAGATTTGCTCAACGAAACGGTAGAATGGAAACTAACTAGAGGCAAATTACCACAAGAGCATTGACTCATCAAGGCTTGACTTATTTACAATATATTTATATGTTTACATTATATGTATACTTGCTGGAATATTTTATACCATTCTTGTACAAATGTCTATTTTAATTATCTTTATTTTTACTCATATATTTTTTAACGAAAATCTCTATAAGCTATGCATGTGCATTTAATTATTTTAAATACATAAGTGCTGTTGTATGAAGATCAACAACATCTTGATTAAACTTCTCTTTTGACTTAATTTGTCCACAAATATTCTTAAGTAGTCTTGAAATAACTTATGTATAACAAATTCATAGATAATGGTTTGTTATAAGTTTCCAATCTTTATAAAATGAATCTAGATCACCTGTCGTCTAACATTCCCCAAAAATTTCCCTCGGCTACCACGCCGCGCCAGTTTGTCGGCTAGCTGAACCACTAACACAAAGATAACGCCGTTCACATTACTGTACCGTCTTGTGTTTATTTACGTCCATCGTATTGTTTGTATACAGCCCGGCACGACTGCGCATCTGGCTACGTCATAACCCCTCCCTCTCCTGTACACCCGCAAAACCCCGTCTTTCCTACGCTTGGGTCGAGTCGGCTCACTCGCTCATTCATTCCGTATTCGCAAACCGTGTCGCACACTGCCTCTTGTGCCGGTGTAATTTTTAATTCCTGGTTGGATAAGATTGTGTTTTATTAGTCACAGTATCTTCCATTATGTTGAAAGAAAAGTCTAGGTTAGAGAACCGACATTCGTCTGAAGAACAAGGTCGACCTTTAGCGAATAGCAGATTACCAGGCATTGAAGAGCTCACCCTTGGCCTAAAACAAAAACTTCATCTACAAGCTCGTGCTAGAGCTGCTCCGTACTACATAAGAAAGCAAGAACCAGTGGATCTTGTCGAACGGCTGATAGAACAACGTGCCCTTGTCGCCGAGGCCGTAAGGAGGCTTCAAGAAAAGAAACAAACGTGTCATGAGATATCAGTAGATTCGTAATATTGTAATTTATAAACAAAACATTTTAGTTGTGAAAGTGTGGAACGTGTTGTGAAATCGCTTGTGTGTAAGAAACGTGTCGGGTTACAATGGTGCTATATGCAGAGAACGTGCGGGAAAGAGATGGCCAGCTATGACGTGTCACACACGACACGAGTCACGAGAACGAACCAAAATGGCCGCGCATACTCTACAATCATAATATTTATTCTTCGTTTTATAGTGACCTTAACTGATCAAAGTACTGAATGACGTAATTAGCATTTAGAATTGTTATGGATCTAAATTACATTTCTATAATACTTACCTCAATCTCGTGACGATGTCACTGAGATATTTCCATCGTATATTTTAACGTTATTATTATATTGACCATTTCGTAATATGAAGTATTCAAGAGCTTTAACTATTGATTATCGTCATTTATAGCTTTCGATATAGATGTTTACACCGTTTGGTTTGAACTATACTAGTTGTTTATAAATAACACAGCACTACAACTTTAATAAACATTGTTATCTAATGGATTTCCTTATAACTGTTTACTATTAACTAGGACATATTATCTGTAATTATGAGTCATTTTCATTAATACTACATATTAAGTGTATTTAAAATTAACTTTCTAAAAGTGATTGTAGAGAATAACAGTAAATTCCTTTTTTCCGATAGTATTATATAAATTACAGTTACTTCATCGCATGTGTGCGTATGTAGGTTATGGAAAATCCATTCAAGTCGCAAATGTGTGGTGTTTTTCGTTGCAACTGACAACGTGCTTATACTTAGGCAATTTTAGGCAATATTAATTTAAAGGTAATTGTATCCTTCGTAATATATAAGTAGCAATTATGTACAATAATTGTACCGTTATCGGGTATAAAAATCATATTAAATGTGTGCATGTTTTAGTGCATTTTGTGATTTTTAGATAGTTTAATTTATCGTCGATCTTGTGATTTAGATAATAATTAATGAATAAATGGAAATAATTTCAAAAAGAAATAAGTTTTTTTACATTTGACCCAACCTGCTGACCAAGAATAATATTTTATTTTAACTATAAAAACTGGCTCAATGATAGAGTGCTATTTGTTGTATATATCTATAATATAGTAAAGTAAGCTTGATCAAAATAGTTCATCAACGAACCATATTTAGTATCTAAAAAACTTCTATTATTAATTCATTTTTAAAACATGTATACAAACAATTTAATCAGAAATTGATATACATATTTTTAAGTTAAATTATATTCTTGTTTCGCATTTAAATAATTTACATACTATTACTAAATATGATGTAAATATGTTTCACGTTTCATGATAGCTACCTACTCAAATATACATATTCACGCATAGAAATATACTTCCCTTTTTTTCAAAATTACATTTTGTAGGTATAAAATAGAAGAAGGTGTACTATAATATATTGTATATGATGCATTATGAATGCATGATATTAGAAATTATCTCGAATTTTCGTTTACCTAAATTATTCTTTAAAATATGCTAGATGTCTGTGGTTATAAGTACTTAAAAGTTAACAGCATTTTCACTTTTCTTACAAAACAAGAACTATTTAGAAAATGCAATGTAAGCTATGGTGTATTTTAAATACATTCTTTTAGTTAAAAATAATATTGTTTGAAGTAAAATAATTATAGGATGTTTCGCCATCTAGTATAGAATAGTAAGACTCGTAGTAAAGACTGCCGTTATAGCGCCATCTATGGGAGAGTAGCTTACTTTCGGTAATTTTGAATGTCATTTTGTTACTGGTTAGGCATGTTCTCTATCAATTTTCATATTTAATAATTTTGATAGAATCGTTTATATTTTCGATAAAATGAAACATAATTAAAACAAAAACATTTACAGTAAGGAAAACGGAAATAAATAATGATGACAAAATAAATTTTCTGTATCACGCACTGTGTGATAACAATAATAATTTATGAGTTTTATCGCGTTAGTAATAGAATAGATGAATAAAACCCGATATTTCAAATCTTTACTTCATACAAAGTGTATAACAAGTTATCCGCTTACAAGGCCACGTGAAGTAATCAGTAAAAGAGTTATCATTAATTCTTATCACATTAATAGCTACACAACATCATTACCTTTGTGCAAGTGTTTTCTTTCGAACCGGTTTGCTTTATCAGTGGAGTCGAATCTATTGTTAAGAATGTCAGCTACTTGGTCCATGGGTCCTGGCACTTTAGAAGTGCCACTTTCTTTATTTGCAACCAATAGAAAAAGATTGGCTGTAAAGTTAAAACCTGGTCAAGTGGTGGTTTTACAAGGTGGTGATGATATAAACCTTTATGATACTGATGTGCAGTACGTGTTTAGACAGGTAAGTTAATTTGAAATACCTAGGACAAAACTTAGTACTCGTACGAATTAACATGACACCTGACGACCTATTCTAGGTATTTTTCCGAAAACGCAATTTCATAAATTTACGAATTGCTATTACGACCTGACACTGCCTCTAATGCACCAATAATATTCATGAATATAATTGTAACAAAATTAGAAGAACAATTTGAAATTTTCCTAATTTCCATTCGAGAACAAATAGAATAGAACCTTAGTTGTCATGTTAATTCGTAAGAGTATTACATGAATATACCCATAATAAATAAGGGAAATAATTAAAACATCGCTATTGTCCAAATGTCCAATGTATAATTGTTGGCGATTATCCACAGAGTTTGTCTGAACTTTAACTTTGTTGCTAGTGATTGTTATTCCGAAGGATATATCAGCTGGAGACTATGAAAAATCTTTATTCATGCCAATATGCCTGTCTAAGTAAGCAATTTTTAATATTTTCAGTTGTTAACCCAAAATATAAATATAATTATTTGAAGCCTGCACCCCTAAAATTGTTTTAAATTTTTTCTGTCAATCTTAACAAAACAATATAGTGTTAATTAAAAGACAGCTGTTTATTGAAATTGATGTCCTTTTATGCTTTCTGGGTCAAGGTAACTAGTGGTTCAGACATGCTGATCCAAGTTATAAGAACAAAGTATTTTGACCAATACTTTGCTATTTTACATAAAATTCCATCAACAAATCATCTACTCCTATTTTAATAAAATAAAGCCAAGGTTTATTTTATAGGAAGCATATTTTACATGGATCTGTGGTGTCAGAGAACCAGGATGCTACTTTGCACTGGATGCAAGTACAGGAAAAGGATATTTATTTGTGCCACGCTTGCCAGAAGAATATGAAGTGTGGATGGGAAAACTTCTCAGTTGCCATCAATTTAAAGAAATATATTCTGTTGACGAAGTCTACTTTGTTGATGAGGTGAAAGTTGAATTGTTTATTATAGCCATCACCAGCCCTTTTAAGTCCCCACTGCAGGGGCTCAGGCCTTCCTTATGGATGGTTAAGGAGGATGGGCCATGACCCTCCACACTGGCCCAATGCGGATTGGAGGGTATTAACGACTGCAAATGCAGCCGGGACCAACGGCTTAACGTGCCTTCCGAAGCACGGAGTAGCTCGAGATAATAATTTTTTGGTTACCCATCCTGTGACCGACCCTTGCGAAAGTTTGCTTGACGACTACGATCGCGGGCCGCGGCGCTTAGCCACTACGCCACCGAGTTTATTATAGAGATGATGACTAATCTTTATTTGTTGTCCATCAGGTAGATTGTTTCAAAACATTAAACACATATTTTTATTTTATTTTTTGCATAATCATTAAATAATGGCTATATATTTTAATTTTAATAAGTTTTAATGTCACATGATGTCACTCTTTTGTACATTTTCTACTTTTATGCCTGTTATCTAAGCTATCTCTTGTTAAATTGAAATAAAAAAAATACTTATCTAATATTTTTCTATTATCTGACTGGTGGACTGAATAGAATTTCTTTATTTTTTATTTCAGCTGCGGGATGTTCTTAAGAAGTTAAATCCTGAAGTACTTTTAACTCTTGTAAGTATCGGATAATTTACTGTTTCAGCAGAGAAAAAGAAAACTTTATTTCAATTATATTTCAATTTCAGAGTGGACCTAACACTGATAGTGGACTCACTGCTAAGGAAGCTGTTTTTGAAGGTATTGATGAGTAAGTAAAAGAATTTTTTAATTTATTTGTTTAGTTAACGAATTAACACAGAGCAAACATCTGCAGGTTATCTAATGATGATTGTATCTCAGTAGAATCTCAACTATTTACATTTCTCCCTTGTACTATCTACCTCAAGTCCAATATTATTATATACCTGACACCATTGATTTGTGAGGAACATATTATACTAATAATGTTGAACTTTAGGAAGATAGTATAATACAAGTAGTCAAGATTCTATTGAGATATGATTATTATGTAAACATTATTAGAATTGTACTGCTGAACATGTAGGGTCGGATCTAGGTGGGGCAAGTAAAAGCACTTACACACATGACTCAGAAGAAAAATTTCAGCACCGAAAAGAATATATTTATTTGGCAAAAAAATACAAACATCAAGAATTAAACAACACCCTACCTATAAATTAAAAAATACCTTAATGAAAAATGCTTAAAAAATCCACTTTATCCTTGGCACTTCGAGATGGGACTCGAACATTGTATTTTTCTTTTTTTTTTTTAAGTTGTATTTATTATTGTTATAATACGTACTATTTTGGTAATGATATTATTTATGTAAATGTCATTACGTATGATAAAGACCTGATAAGTTACTTTCGCTTGTTCTTCTTGACAGCTAAAAGACGTCCTGAACAGGTAGTTGGGGAAAAAAATTTTTTGGACGATTCAAAAGTGCTTGAAACAACCGGGCGACTAGAGTTACCCAGAACAGAACAGGACTGTCGATTTTTCCAAGCGCTTGTTTCTTTTTCGCTACTACAGAGCGTATTTTCGTCAATGTTCTGGCAATCCACCGTTTGGGTGGAAAGAAATATAGTTGAAAGAAATGTTTCTACAAATATTTAAACTTTCGATAAAGATAATGTTCTATTTATTGTATTTGATAAATTTTGCATTCACAACGCTATACTGAAAAGTATTCTTAATAAAAAATTCTTAAAAAAATCCGATTGGTTTTAAATGTATGCGAGATATATCAAATATAATAAATGATTTTTTAATGAAAATATGTTTTAGTACCTAATGAAAAAGTAGCAAATGCTTGAAAAATTCGTCAGTCCTGTTAGGTCCTGGGTAGTTCAATGGGTTCGAGTTTCATCTCATAGTGCCAGTGACCAAGTAGATTTTTTAAGCATTTTTCAGTATAGCAATAATAAATACCTAATAAAAGTATTTATTTATAACAGTATTCATTCATAACTTAAGTTATTTATTCATGGTAATCTAATTGACAGCTCCCGAGATAAAAATAATAATAAATGTGGTTTTCTATTTCAGATTCAATGTGGATAATGAAATATTATTCCCAATCATTGCAGAATTGTAAGTATCAAATGAGAAAACGAAATATAATTCACATTATCTTATTTTGCTATCTATTAATTGTCTTATAGATATAATTTATCGGATAACTATCCAATATCAAATAACTTTTATATCAGTATTTCTAATCTTATAAAAAAAATATTAAACTATTTATTACAAAGAGCTTGTAGCTGATGTTTTCAAGATAATCGGGTAAAGTTAAGGATCTACGTGATTCAATTTGGGCCATTAGGTTACTCGCTGACAAACATATTCTATGACTTCCTTTCATTCATGTGCACTCTTAATTAAATAGCAGATGTTAAACGCAGAAGGTAAAATTTTAAAACACATACATCGACCAATCGGAATGATTCAAGTATCAGGTCATCGGATTATCCACCGATATCCACTCGCCTGACGCCCGCTGAGTGTGAATAAGACGCAAACCTAATGTATTTTATACTTTATGGTTATTGAAACAAAGCTTACTATGAATTTTAAAAGTACGTTCGATCATTCTGAATTGTTGGCTCTGCGTAAACAATGATTCACAATGCAATTGAAACTTTACCGTAACAAGCACAACTATTAACCGCAAACCTATTATATGTACCCATTATTACCTTTTCCCATGGATTCTTACGTAATATGATCCAGATCCAGATCCATTTGTCTTCTCTTACAAGATCTTCTTTTATTGGGCAGGGTCGGAGTATGATTACTTGATACCCTAAACAATCCTCATTGTGTCCCCAACCCATCATATCTATGCTCCAAAATACTTATCTAATACAAGTCAGATCATTACGTTCCAGATATGAATGAATGAAGGTTAATTGAGATACAAAACATGTGTATTTAATTTTATTTTAATTTAAGAAATATTTAATTGTGGTGCTCTTTCTGATTTTACCCCCAAGACATGATGCCCTCAGCCAGGGATAGTGAACCAATGGTACGAACCACAATATTTTGGCCATGTTACTATTATACTCATAAAATTCATTAAGCACAACGAAAATAAGTGTGAAGTAGTAATTATTTTGTAAACAATCAGAAAGACAAAGTTATTTAACGTCACCTCTATGAACCTTTCTTTAAAAAAATGCTGCGTTGATACGTAAAGGGATGGTGAACCTGCCCTAAGCAATTGCTTATTTTGCTTATAGCCTGATTCTATTTTGGATCACAAAAATCCATGAAGTTAAGATTACATTAGTAATAAAGGAATACAATAATCTAAAGGAAATTGAACAAAGTGGTTCCACTAATCTGCAATATGTGGGACTATTAATCATTTTTCCTAGGTGTAAGGTATTATGATATTTAGATTAACAGTTTGTAGGTAAGGTGTAAACCATGCTTCATTCTATAATAAGCCAGTCAGTTCTCGACCTTGTCGTTTTACTTACGTCTCCCGACACGACACTAGGCATCCAATTTTTGCCAGATTTTGACCAGTTCCCACTCTATGTAAGAAAAAATGAGACTGATCCTCCCCTCTAAAAATTATTATGTTTGAATCTAATCTGATGTAGATTGAATAAGCTAATCTGCGCCCTCGAACTTCTTACACATTTTTTTTTTTTAACTTAAACGTTCATTGTTCACAGACGTGTTATCAAAACCCCAGCGGAGATCGAAGTTATGAAATATGTCTGCAAAATATCATCGGATGCCCATAAACAGGTATAATATAATAAAACATAGATACTTCAAGACTCATGGTCTACTTCAATATTTAACGATGTATCTACCTACGTTGAGTAGCTCAGTGGCGTAGTGGATAAGCGCCGCGGCTCGCGATCGTTGTTGTTAAGCAACTATCGCAAGGGTCGGTCACGGGATGGGTGACCAAATAAATGATTATCTCGCGCTACTCCGTACTTCGGATGGCACTTTCAGCCTGCACCTTTACGATTAAAAAATGCAAAGTCCCGGCTGCACTTGCAATCGTCAATACCCTCCGATCTGTATTGAGCCAGCGTAGAAGGTTATGACCCATCCTCATTTACCACCCATGAGGAAGGCCTTCACCTCTGCAGTGGACACACATTTACATATCATGGTCGCCGAATCGAAAGAATTCCGTACATTGACCTTTGATAGACGTCGTTAAGGCTCACTTAAATATGACACAATTGGCTAGACGCATCTGTGCGAGCTCAATGGCATGATGTTTGCACACGAGTGAAAGAGACCGGTAGCATAATTGTCTAATTTTAAAATCTATCGCAAGCCTTTTCAAACGTATAGCGGTTCTGATACTGATTAAGGGTATTGTGTAACTTTTAAAGTCACAATCGCATTTGGAACGAATGATGTTTTGAATGATATAATAAATGTAATGTAATAAGCGTAAATATAGATAATTAATTTCGTTTGACATTTCCCTATAGCGTTCAAAGATATTTGTAACTAGGGGCCGTCCATAAATAACGTCACACAAAATTCAGGATCTTAACCCCCCCCCCCTCTCCCCTCCTGTCACCTATTTATCTATACCCCCCCCCCCCAAGTGTGACGTAATTTATGGATGACCCCCTATCACTTTGCTTTGACAATTCCGATTAACGTCATTTTATCGTTATCTTTCGTTCAATATCTTTTAAAAACATATCGCGGTCGCAATAACTTTCACATGCCAACAGTTGTAACGTGAAGTTCGCGAATGTCTTTCAAATGTCATAAAAGTTTTTTTTTTAAGACAATTAGGCCACCGGTAGTTGTATGAAATTCAATAAATAGTATTCATTCGATTTGTAAATTCATACCACGAAAGCTTAACATTATTTGTTATTATTAGGTGATGCTATATGCAAAGCCTGGTCTAATGGAGTACCAATGCGAGTCAGTATTCTTGGACCACTGTTACCGTGTGGGTGGTTGCAGACATGTGTCTTACACCTGCATATGTGGTTCTGGTGATAATGCTGCAACTCTACATTATGGGCATGCTGGTGCACCCAATGCGAAGATAATAGAGAAAGACGACATGTGGTATGTACATGGTTACACGTCAGGCTACCACAATATGTCAGTTTAACTCAATTTTGAACTTTACCTACAATATATTAAGGCTCTCTTTTACCTCCGCTTATGTACAAATACGCATGGAGGTAAAGACGCGTTCGCTTAATGTCATACATTTTTAATCGGAGAAAAAAAAACGAATGCATCTAAAGAATATATCAAAACCTATATTTGTACCTATATATTATTAAATAATTAATATACCTATTTAGAGTCACCTTTGCGATTTTTTTCTATCGAGCTATTTATTGTAATTTAAGTTTCTGTTTAATGTTTCTATAATGATTTTAATTTGGCAAATAGTGGCATAGCCTTAGAAAAGTGGTAGTTTCGTACATTCTCGCCTTAAGGTTTAAAATCAAGTTGAGATATCTGACCGTTTCATATAGACTGTTTAATATACTTTTGTGTTTACAAAGAATAATGAAGATTATTTTTTAAGGATTACCTCAATAGATTTTAACTTTAGGTATAACGCGTTCAACTTTATATCATATATCTTACTATACTTCTCTCACATCAACCTTTTCAACGCGGTTTAGAGTACTCTAGACCTGACCTTTCTTTAATACGTCCATTATTTGGTCGTGATACGTTTGTCTAGGTCTTCCCCTTCTAGTACTGCCTTTGAAATTAAATTGAGAAAATTTGACAGTTTTGTATAACCTGATGTGCTGTTGACTGTATTTTTTTATATTACACTAGTTGTTTTCCCGCGATTAGCCCGCGCAAATTATAGCCTATGTCGCCCGCATATTATATAGCTACCCGTGGCTGAAATAATTCTTAAAATCGCTTCCGAAGTTTCGGAGTTCAGCCCTGCGATTCTGTAAAACTTCAAACCCGATTTCGAAATCACTCGGATGTCCGAATTCACTTCAAAAAGCGGCATCCGCTCAAACTTGAATTGGTAATAATGTTTCGTGAAATAAGTGAAGTGAGTTTCGAAATGATATAGGATTAAAATATCTATGACACGTTTAATCAGTCAATTTTGTTTAGTATTTTTATACAAAAAATGGAATCAATATGATTTCTATACTTAATGACGAGAATTCGGACACATGAGTGAATTCGAATTCGGGTCTGGATTGTTACAGAATCGCAGGGCAGTAGTTAAAAAACTTTAATTCGCAGCGTTTATTGTTATTAAGTTTTGCGATAACATTCAAACAATAACTGATTTTAATCTTATGCGATGTAACGTTTATTATAATTGTATAATAGAGATTATATAATATTATTGTTATTTTATCGTATTTACGGTTAGATAACTAGGTATTGAAGTTAACAATATATTGGGTTTTACGTGACTATATTTCTAAAATAGATACATTTAATTTATTTTTTAAGTTCCAATTTTATTGCTGTTCTTTTATTATATTCAATAATTTAACAGGGGTAAAACCAATGACATTTCTTTTCTTAAACAGAGTAAATTGTATTGTGGTAGCGTAACATTATAATACAACCAAAAAAGGCGAATCAAAGTTATCTCCCTATCCCTAAACACGATGCATGAAAAAATGGCCGCGTTCAATGACGTTTTATTATTTTTATTAAAATAAAATAGAGTAAGTACACAGTACAGTACTTGCGCATGAAATGATATCTTTTTTGCTTTTCTCGTTGTCAACAAAATTTGACGTGTCTTCACGCACCCTTACGCTTCTTTGAATTAACGCGTTAATAAATTAGCGCCTTCATAAACACGTTAAAAAATATATCATTAGTCTTTAGCGCGTTAATGATTTGTAGTCGTTTTGAACAATTCCGTGTGCAGATAACAACCCATCTAAACTTTTTAATACATTATTGGGTAAAAGTTCTTTTCCTGATATTATTAAGTACTTTGTCTCTAATATTAGACAGTAGTAAATATTGTATTTAATAATCTAACTTATACTTTTGTGGGATACTTTTTGCCCCTATGTTAATCCAGGTTTAGAATTTAATTTAATTTTTCATTTGGATAAGGTTCACATCATAACAGTGACAGATTGAATAATAAACAATGTACAATGGTAACGTTTTCATTGCCTTAACAATTTTCCACTCCTATTTATGTCACTTTATTTACTGTTCTTCGTGATATAGCCTATGTCCACCGCATATGACGTGGTTTCCCGTAGATATTTTTTTTTTAAATCAGTCCAGAAGTTTCCGAGCCAAACTAAATGCAAAAAAAAACATTTAAATGTTTCCTCGTTATAATATTAATATACATAATAGGTAATATATTTCAGTCTATTCGATATGGGCGGCAACTACGCCGGATACGCAGCTGATATAACTTGTTCGTTTCCCGCCAACGGCAAGTTCACACCTCAGCAGAAACTCATTTATGAAGCTGTTCTCAATGCTAGAGACGCAGTCATTAGGTATGTGCAATATAAGAAGTTCCATTGAGATTCTGGCTACACACATATGGCGTTTTATCACTCACTTTCCAATAAGACTTCAATTTATGAATAAAACAGAGCTTTTTCCCGGATCTTCTTACTATAAAGTCTCCCGCCATAGATTTTGTAACCGATGGCGTAGTTTTAGATATTCACAAGTAATTGTAGTAGCCTAGACTTAATAAATGGTATTGTATTTATGTTTTTTTTTCTTATATTCAAAAATTACTAAAGATCGCGAACTTTCTATCTATTATTACTATTAATTCTGACTTTAACAACCAAATTTATTTACAATAATTTATCTAAGTATATTTGATTATTATTAATAGTATTATGTATAACACGGCATTGGTGCTAAATGTACAGCCAATTATAGTAAAACAACACATACAATGTTACATACATTTTTTTAAGTAAATATATATATATATATATATACATATATATATTTTATTATACACAGCAAACAACACTTGGTTAGTTTAGGTTAGAACTATGATCAAACATTTTCTAAGTATATTCCTTAGTGCTCCGTTACTTGACCCCGATCGCGACTATAGAAAAAGGCATAATAATCGTCGATATCTTCATCGACTAATGTAAATGAGCCAATAAGTTTAATTATTTTGTTTCATTAGCTGTGAATGTTCCAAAAACAATAAAGCATAAGGAACCACTCTTTACAGATTGTATTTAATCAATTTTCATTCTCAATGCTATACTGATATAAAATTCACTAGACCCAGGTACTCGTTACCGCTCTTTCTGTTAAGATATATAAATGAAAATATTGAGGACAAACGGCCAGTTTCTCAATAGAGAAATATACAAATTCTCAACTTTCAATATTCATAATAACTTGAGTTTTTTAAAACAAGGCAAGAATGAGGGATGGGGAAAAGGCGCAATATCAAGTTTCCGTCCCGTTTGGAAGAACTTGTGGAACCGGGCCTGTGTTGTGTATAAATTGACCATAAAAAACCATAGAGATGATGACTGGTTTTTTATTATTTGTCTGACGGTAGTTTGTTGAAAAATATTATATAGGTTTTTTTTTACGTTTTATTAAATTACAGCGATACATTGAGTTAAAATATACCATGATGTCACACTTTTCACGTACATTTCTACTAAACTGTGATATAGCGAGACTTCTCAATTTTAATGCCAGTAATTGAAACTTTTTGGTTAATTAAAGTAAAAAAATACGTATATAATATTTTTCTTTTATTTCACTGACGGACTAAATATAATTTCTTTAGTTTTTTACCCAGACATCATTCTTATTCTTTAAAATAATATGTAACATATTTCAGAGAAGCGAAGCCAGGTGTAATGTGGGTGGACATGCATCTCGCCGCTAACCGCGCAATGCTTGAACATTTGAAACAAGGCGGTCTACTCAAAGGGGACGTGGAAGAAATGATTAAAGTAACATATCAATCTTTTTATTGTTTCCGATTTTTTTATTTAATTTCGTATGTAATAATAAGCTAATAATGTTTAGGGAAGCATAGGAAAGGGTTAATGAAGACTTTACACTTTGACTGACAAGTGGAAGAGGGTGAAACATAAATATAATCCAGCTTACGTAATATTTTATCTTTTCTCATTGTCAATAGGTTGTGATAGTGTTATAATTTGAAAATTTATTTAATTGCAATGTTTTAATGGCATTGCGATTTGAGTTTAAAATTTTGTTTAAATTTCGAAATATAATTGCTTGCTTTGTAAGCAACTACAGACAGACATAAAATTTCATGAACTACAGTTAACATAGACATATTAAGGCATTAGAGTACCATAACAATATAAGTCACCAAGTGCTATGTATTAAAAAACAACATTGTCTCTTTCATTGATAAACAAAAGAACATCATTTTCTAATATTAGCGCCATCTAACGGTGAGGTGAAACAATAACTTGTACGGTGTAACATAGAGCGGCATTAACGGCATACTGCAACCGCACGGCCTCGGTCACCTGCTGGGTCTGGACGTGCACGACGTGGGCGGGTACCTGCCCTCATGCCCCCCGCGGCCCTCGCCCCCCCTCGCGCGCCTGCGCACCGCGCGCCAATTGCAGCCCGGCATGATACTCACCATCGAGCCCGGCTGCTACTTTATACCGCGGGTGAGTCACTCGCCTATAATAATAATGTTTATTTCAGATTTCTGCATCCATATGATATTAGTAACAATGAGAAAGTTTTTTAATAAAAAAAAGAAAGCACTAAAAAGCATCTCACAAGATGGCGACCCTAGCAAAAGTTGATTTTTACAGGAAACGAATGGACCAAAGATAGTCATTTCCGTTCCTTTTAATTAACATATTAGAAAAGGCGACCCTAGCAAAAGATGATTTTTCCAGGAAACGAATGGACCAAAATAATCATTTCCCTTCCTTTTAACTAACATATTAAAAAACAGAAATTTGCAAAGTTCGAAACTAAGATATCAATACAAATACAAAAAAGTACAAATAAAATATGAGTTGTTTATGGAGTTTTGAAAACTAATTTACTTTTAAACATGAAAGAAAAGCGGAAATGTTGTCATGGAGAAATCAAGAAGTTACCGTAGCGTCATCTAGTTTGATTTCGAGAACTAATGTTATTTTTAATTTAAAAAGCAATAAGTAATTGATTTTTTAATACTTCCTCAATGGACTTAATACTCTTATAAGTAAAAATAATAATTTGATTTAATGATAGCTACAGCCCGCTCGCCGAACGGAGAGAATAGAGAATTTTACTCATTACAAGATAACTTAGGCAATAAGCAGTCTGAAAATGTTAGCTTCAGTTCATAAAATAAAGAAATTAGCTTTTTTTAATTCAAATCGAATGTTTTTAAAATCTTTAGTCTGTGGTTTTATTACGCGAATCAATAGCGGCCATTATATGACGTCATTTGGTTTGTAAACTAACAAGAAAAATAAGTTTCAAGCCAGATATATACGCTTAGTTTTTTTTTTATATTCTAATGACGAAATAAAAAAAAGACATTTTTATAATAATAATACCATGGAACAGGATTTTGTAAAGGAAGATCGCAGAAAATTAGCAATAGTAAACACTTATCGTCGGAAAGTTTTATACTGCAAATCTCTTATTTTTATTCTGCTGTATTACCGAATCTTAAAACTTTGATGAAAATACTATTTTCTAACAACTATTTGAATATGATAAAAAGTACATAAAAATGTAAGAAACCAATAGCAATGCTTTTTTTTACAAACCCAAGTGCATGCAGAAATTTCGTCCAAATCGCACGAAATTTGAAAATTGTAAAATTTTAATGGCACTTACAGACTGAATAAATTTTTTCTTTTTTTTTTCAGTGGTTTATTAGGACTAAATTGAGACACTTCAAAATCAGTAAAATACTGTATGTCATACAATGTCACGGCATTACCATGTCTCTCATGGCGCCATTATACGAGGGTCAAACTGAAAGTTCTTAGAACTGGCCACTTATAAACAATATAATAAAAAAATAATTCTAAAATTTGAAAATATAACTCTTTGCCAATATTACTGAGTATATATTTCATTCATTTGTCATTTGTTTTACGATTTGGCGGCAAATTGAAAATTGTCTGTGTCACGTCATCATGAATTTAACACGAGAAAATTTTCGTGCAATGATTTTTTATGACTTTCGATGTCATTTAAGTCAACAAGAAAGTTATGATAGACTACGATTGGCCTTTCACGATGAAGCCCCATCTCGTGCGACTGTTTACAACTGGTTTAATGAGTTTAAACGTGGTCGCACTAATCTCACTGATGATTTACGTGAGGGACGGCCTTCTACGGCGACGACTGAAGATAACATCTGTGTTGTGCGGCGTATGATAGAGACTGACAAAAGAGTGACCTATCAACAGATTCGGACAAGCTTAGGCATCGGTATGAGTCAAGTGCACAAAATCCTCCACGAACATTTAGCGGTCAGGAAGCTTTGCGCCCGGTGGATACCTCATAATTTGACTGAGGCTCAAAAACTCCATCGTGTGGATTGGTGTCGTAAAATGATTGAAAGATTTAACGGAGGTGACTCAAATGCTGTGTTCGACATACTAACAGGTGACGAAAGCTGGATTTACTGTTATGATCCTAAAACCAAAAGACAATCTGCTCAGTGGGTGTTTCCTTTCGAGGAGTTGCCAACTAAAGTGAAGAGAGATCGAAGTGCGGGAAAAAAAATGGTGGCCTCGTTCTTTGGAAGGATAGGTCATTTTGCAACAATTGTGTTAGAGGATCAAAAAACAGTTTCTGCAGAATGGTACACTACCAATTGTTTGCCACTTGTCTTGGAAAAAGTTCGAGAGAAACGACCTCGCAGTAGGATCCTCCTTCACCACGACAACGCCTCGTCGCACACCGCCAAGCGAACGATCGACTATTTGGCGACATCAAACGTTGAATTACTTGGTCCCCGCCGTATAGCCCCGACCTCGCGCCTTGTGATTTTTATTTATTTCCAAAAATTAAAGAAAAACTTAAAGGAAAGCGGTTTATGAATGCTGAAGAAGCGGTGGCTGCGTATCGCGATGCCATTGAAGAGACCCCTAAGGACGAGTGGGCAAAGTGCTTTTCCCAGTGGTTCCATCGCATGCAGCGGTGTATTGACGTGAATGGACAATATTTTGAAAAGATATAATAAAACTAATAACTGGCTAATGTAATCAGTTTTTGATTTTCTAAGAACTTTCAGTTTGACCCTCGTATTGCTATTGCGCTCGCACATATGCATCTAGTCAATTTTGTCATAGTCTTTCACGTAGCATGGTGGGTTTGGGATTAGAAAATTTAGTGATGTGACAATAAAAAAAAAATTCAAAATTATTGAGTTCATTTCTAATAGAGATAAGGTCAATGTATAAAACAGGATTTAAGAAAAATATTAATTCATCAACAAGATGAACCCGAAATAACAAAATTTTATTATAGTTAAGTTTAAATGTTACGACAACAATAATTAAAAATTGTCAAATAGTTACCGAATACCTACATTGAACTATGTAGGTAGGTAGGTTAAAGCGTTTTTTTTTTTATATTCTATCCCTATTAAAACACGTTCCAATTTCTATTTATAGTATTGATGTTATAAACTTTAGAGGGTTAGATTTCAGTAATTATGGTTATTACAGAAAGAGCCAGAAGTAGCCATTGAATTTTATTTACAACGATTACAAGCATCATTACATATATTTTGTCCTATAACATTTTTTCATGTTAGCAAAGTGTAATATTTTCCAAATCAGCAAAATAATATTTACTTTGTTAAATATTTATAAGTTAAAACGGTTTATAGTTTCTGAACATATAACATATATCTTCAGTTGTACGGAACGTCCTAATCTTATCGAGTAAAACAAAGTAAAAAAAAAAAACTTTTCGGCCAAATGTGTATTACAGCCTTTAAGGTAAAAAGTATCGATATGTTGAAAACCTTCATTTTGTTATATTATTTTAGCTTCTCCACGGCGCAAAGAATAATCCTGATCAATCTCGGTTCTTCAATTGGGACGTTATGGAGAAGTACAGAGGATTCGGCGGCGTGCGTATCGAAGATGACGTACTTATCACAGAAACTGGCGTAGAGAACCTCACATTTGTGCCAAGAACGTAAGTGAAAACAAACTTAAGTAATATTAAATACTTACTTTCCGCCCGCGTGGTCTCTAAGGAACTGTTTGTTTGGATATCAATTCATATAATGTCACGGATATAATTACAATGACATATAGAATAGATAACAATGGTTGCTATTGTGATGTTTTTTATTCGCTATTTCTCGACATAAAATATAGCAAAAATCAAGTTTTAAAATAACCCTTTATTGAATTTGTCCGAGCTTAGGAATTTTTCCATTTAAGAAATTTTACTGGTTATTATATATTCTGGATTTTTCACAAGCGTAAAATAATGAATGATACATGTAATGCCATCTACTGTGGTTTTTAAGAACAGATATTTTTTACTTATAGGTAATAGTGTAAATAGTGTAACCGTGATAGTACACATGGTTGCACGTTAGGTTACCACTATATCAGATTACAATTGATTTTCTACTCTACCGTCTATGCATTAAAGTTTAAAAATGAAGTGGGGAAATTTGAGTTTTGTAAATACTGACGTGCTGTTGACTGTACGTTTCAAATAAGCATTCGTAGGCCGCGTACAGCGTACTTAAACAACGCCTAAAGTTTGATGAATTACGTAAATCCCGTCTATTAGCATTACCCATTAAAATTTTGAAAAACAATAGCTCGGTGGCGGAGTGGAAATACGCCGCGACCCGCGATTGTTGGTGTTAAGCAACTTTCGGAAGGGTCGGTCACGGAATGGGTCACCACAATATTTATTATCTCGAGTTACTCCGTGCTTCGGACGGCACGTTAAACCGTTGATCCCGGCTGCATATGCGGTCGTTAAATACCCTCGCATTGGGCCAGCTTGGAGGGTCAAGGCCCATTCTCTTTAACATCATAAGCCTGAGCCCGCGCAGTTGAGACGTAAAGGCTACAATTTTAGACGTAAAATTTTAGCTTATCCGAACAAACTATCGAATTCAATAAATGAATCTGTAGGCGAGGGTACTTTGGCTTTTTGTATATGTATATATAAAAAAATATATATACAACAAAACATTAATTGAAATATTGTATTGTTTTTACAGTGTAGCTGAAATAGAAGACTTTATGGCAAATGGTGCCAATTTCAAATGAAAACACTATGGTATATTTATGTAATTATTATCATTTATTTAATAATTTTGTACATTTGTAATTTCTATAAAATAAATACTTATTAATATAAGGCAAAGATTATATTTGTGTAATATATACAATGTTTTTAATTTGTTACTAAACCAAGTGAAATATATTGGTATGTTGATTATTTTTTTTATTTATTCTCATGAATACTGCAAATACTTCTTGAGTGCAAAAGGAATAGGTAAAATCTTGATTATATTAAAGAATTCTTGAGTTGATTTTATAAAGCCTGACTTTCTTAATAAACTCCTTATTTTAAGGCGACACCAGTGTTTCAAAGGTGGTACAAAGAAAGGAAAATTTTCAATAGTTACATCTTGACATTCTTCATCAATCATCGAAATCAGTTGTTGCTGTGCCTGTCAAGTAAATTAAAGCAATTTCAATGTCAAAAATATAACTGAAACTACAGTAAATATTATTAAACATATTAACAACTAGTATCTGAATTGAGAATTTATAGTTAAGAATGTCTCAAACTGTATTTAAAAATCACTTTTAACTGGTTTGCTTTTCTGATTTTAGTTTTTTAATGATCAGTTGCTGGCAGTTTGATGAAACAGAGTCATTTTGATTTTTGAAATGTAAAAAACTAAGTTATCAAAAATTATCAGTTGAGATTTTGTATTTTTCTCAATTCAGAAACTAGCCATATGTGTTTGTAATATTCTAAAACTAACTTGCAATGACATTCTGTTTGATACCCCATTTTGAAATGCAAATATTAACATTCGCCCTGGCTCACAGAGAACACTATGTTGAAGCATCAATGGTAAAGTATCAGGATCCGAAGATAAAGACGCTATGAAAGCATCTGGCACACATTTGCATCTGTCAGAACAAGCTGAACTGCAATAGTCTACATTGCATTCATTCTCTCTGAGAATTTGGAATACCTGCCAACAATTTTATGATAACATTATTATAGCACACAGCTGGCCAATAGACTACAAATGTGCACTCTCTGTGCATGGAGGGCGTTAAGTGGTTATGCCATCTGCGTATTGACTAGCCTTCAGGTGGGTCCCTTTGGATGGAGAGTACCCACACACACACACAGGAGCAGCGCATAAAGCATTCCAGTACGACAAAAAAGAGGATTGTCCGCCACGACCGGCGGAATCGAGCAAGAACCACACTTGCTTGTGGCTGTGGTCTTTTCAAACAATTGATCACCCATTTTTCTAAGTTTGTTTAAAAAACTATATTTTTTATTGATTGATATAAAATTATGCAACAGGGTTATGTTTTGAGTTATGGTTTTATGATCTTCCTTCATTTTGATAATTGAGAGGTGATTAATTATTTATAAGTTTTAGAAATTGTACCTTACAATATAAAATAAAAAGCAACCCTTTTATTCAACTGAGAATTCTTGGCCACAATATATATCACAGCTAACCTATACTTTTTGAGTTCGAATGTCCCATTATCTTTTTTGGTAGGTAAAATAATTTAATAATAACCTTAAGTTGTACTGTCAAACTTACTTCTTTAAAACAGGCACTGTGAGTGGTATAGTGTATGTACACCAATGGAGGGCATTCATTAATATTGATTGCATCCACACCAACTCCTCTCATAAGAAACAAGTAGAAAAATTCTTTAAATTTCTCTACCGATTGATTATATATATATTCACAGATGTTTAAATATGAATTCAATGGTGCATTAGTCAAATAAACAGGCCTTATACCACCAATATCCTCCAGAAACACATGGAAAAGCTCTGTAAAATCAAAGAATTCAGGCCCCAAATCGTGATACAATAAAGCTTCAAGAATATCAAACTTAAAATAGTGTGGCTTGCATGCACGTAGGATAATATCAGGATGTATGAACTTTTTATCTGTTACATTCAAAAGAATTTTAAACAATGTAGCATAACCTAAACTCAATGCTATGTCTAAGGCTGTCTGTCCACTATTATCTTTAATGTGTGGATCGGCTTTATTTTCTAGTAAAAATTTTACTACTTCATCACTGCCTCCTCTAACTGCCAACATTAAAGGAGTCTCATCTCTGGCCGCAAATTGATTTATATCAGATATAAAAGGAAGCATATGTTGTACTGTTTTTAAAACACCTTTAAAACAAGCCAAATGAAAAGAAGTTAAAAGATTAGATTCATTTCTTATGTCTGGATTTGCACCAGCATGTAACAAAACATTTACAGCTTCACATTGTGCTGTCAAAGCAGCATCATGAAGTGGTGTGTCACCATCAAAATCTTGGACATCTATTATTGCACCATAATCTATAAGTAGCTGCATCAGTTCTACTCTTCCTGAACCACTAGCGATATGCAGAGGAGTAACATTCTCAGTGCTACCATAATTTGCAATATCTTCTACTTCATCAAGTAGAGTTTTTATCAACTGTAAAGAACGCATCATTCGACATGCCAAATATAATGCAGTGTGGCCTTCATGAGTTTCAGCGAGTGGTCTGCATCTAGGATCTTTTAAAATAATTACCATACATTCATAACTATCACTATCCGCAGCTTCATGCAGACATGTCCAGCCACGGTTATCAGTGCAGTTTGGGTTGATTTTCTTGAGTAATCTAGTCACAGCTCGGACGTCGTTATTTCTAGCTGCTAAACTGAGAGCATTGGAAGTGTTTGGATTATGAGAACTAAAGTCCATTTTTAATGTCACTTTTAATAACACTCAAAAATCTAGTAACATATGCTTGTCTAGAAAAACGAGGGTAATATATAATTTGTTTTGAATGTGTTACGGAAAATAAATTCCCGCAATAATATAACGTTTCTGATAATGGAAATATTTGTAAAGAAACAAATGATAACCAATTTTCTTTAAATTTATACACTTGTCTGCATTGTTTAATTAAAAAATGTAGTATTTCGAAATTGTTTTAAAATCATATTAATCTAATAATTCGTGAGTGCTAACCACAGGTACAAACTTTGAAAACATTTCTTTTCCACACTTTGTCACTTTTATTTTGGTTCAATTTTCCCATTCCTACGGGGAGGGGAAGGCAAAGGGTGCTAAGCCCTTACAGCCTTATCAATTGTAATTATGTTCTTAATAAATCAAATTCAACGGCCACAGCCAAATCTCTTTTTAAGTATTGTCAGTCAAGTCAAAAGGCCACAGCTTAGTCTTTTTAAGTTTTTTTTCACATGTTTTGTGTCATTCATTTTCATTACACATACATAATAAACAATAAATCTGTGAAACTACACTTTATCATAGTCTTGTCACAAAACTATGTACATAGAGAGTTAAGTTTTATGAAAAATCAGAAAAGGCTTATTACAGATTATCATATTCTGTGAATCTTCTTTACAAATTAACAAGCGAAATATAATAAAAACGAAGGAAATTGTAAATAAACAACATTAAATTGGAATAGAAAAAACAAGGAACCAACTTTAAGTTAGATTTCCCCAATGAAGTATTTAAAAGAAAACATTAGTTCCCGAAATCAAACTAGATGTCGCTACCATACGTTCTTGGTTTCTCCATGACAATATTTCCGGTTTCCTTTCAAGTTTAAAAGTAAATTAGTATTCATAACTCAATAAATAGCTCATATTCTATTTGTACTTATTCGTATTTGTATTGATATTTAAGTTTCGAACTTTTCAAATTTCAGTTTTTTAGTATATAGCGACATCTAGTTTGATTTTGGGAACTAAAGCTTTTTTAATTCTTCCTCTTTGTGCGAAATGCGCAGATAAGCCATTAATAAAAAAAGAAGGTTATTTTTATAATATTGAAGATGCCATTTAGTTTCAAAAAGTTTTATCAAATTATGGTTAGAACAGACTGTTACAACCTGACGATTCATCATGAGTTTTTTGTTAATCCATTTATTAATTGATATATAAAATTCATATAGTATAATATAAATGTGTACACATTTAACTTTGACGAGTAACTATTCCGATCGTAGGTTTAATCACACTTAAGAATATTTTCTCACAATATGAGACTAGAATATTCCTACCGAATAGTCAGAGCGGTAAAACATTTTGAAGTTGTTAGGATCATCCCACTTCATGGCACCCTAGAGTTGTGTATACTCGCAACTATTCAGGCTAAAATGACTTGAAATTTTAAAATATTGTGTTTCTTACTTTCTTCAGTGTTAAATATAGCGTGGCGCTGCTAGACTGACTAGCCCAGCAGCGCCACATTATTTCTTAATTAGCTCTATAAGTATTTGCTTTAGTAACTGACTGATAAATAAGAGACTAGATGGATCAATTCATTTCAAAATCGAAGAAGGCGACGCTGCCAGCGTGACACACCGATTTTTTACCTGCTGTTTTTTTTTACTCATACTTAGGTTCCCGTCCCTTCTGGATCTCAGGCTTTTACCGCAAAACTGATATACTTTAACTAAACTTTGGGCGGGTTCTTACGGGTAGTCTTACAAACACACAAAACTTAAGTTACGAACAAAATTTTTAATTCACTGCACTCATTATAACAGGGCAGATCTCGTTTACAAAGAAACAACTATAACTTTAAAAATCAAATCATTTATTTGTACAAAGAATAAAGACGATCAACCATACAGCTTTTTACATGTATTTAGATTCGTCAATAAGTTTTCAAAGTAACGCTTTGCCGATTAGGTGATAATACAGCATATGTTAAATTTGAAATGTTATTAGTAGGTAATGTATAGCATTAGCACTTACAGTAAACAAACCAGAACGATACCCTTAGGTAATTAAATAAAATAAATAAAAATGTTCTTTATTAACATTATTTCCATCATTTACAACCTTGAAATTATCCCAGTAAGTAATATAAAATACTTGTATTGGGACCATTTCGCTCCAGCTTTGTAGCAAGTACATATTTTAATGTTAACAAGAACCAAAATGAAAATGAGAAGAAATTGTAATAAATACATACTTTATACTTATCAAATTAGTTCCACTCACTGTATTTTATTGCTGTTACCCTGGTCGCCAAAATAGCGTTAAATGTGCAGGCATTTCTGTTGTTCCTTGTTTGCCGCTTTCATTAGTTGGATAGTTTGCGCTCAATAAACGCGCAGAGGTCGCCACCACTCATGCTGACCCCATCGACTAGTGTAAATGGGGCATTAGTATAGCATCTTAGGGCCGAGAATTAATGGAAAAAACAATTAGATTTTATCTTTGTTCGGAGTAAAATTCTTAGATTGGCTAAGTATAGTGATAAAAGTAAGATAATTCGGTAAAAAAATACTTAAAAACGTAATTATTTTTAATGTAATAAAATCTTTGGATTTAGGATATATTTTGGAGCGTTTTGCTGAGCTGCATAAACAAGTAGTTGCTGTTATCTATAGTTTTAATATTTTTTGTATATTTGAAATTAATTATTATTAATTTCTTACATCTTAATATGTAGCTACCACGTATATTATATGACTGTTGAATAAATATACTCTATATCTAATTATAAATTCAAAATTAATAAATTTTACAATTCTCGTTGCTCTTTTAATGACTTTTGACATTTCTAAAAAACTGTTTACTGTTTGTGCTAGTGCTGCACTCTGGCGAGAAAGATAATAAGTTGCACTAATACGTCCTCTAAAACAGTGGTTCCTATCCTCTGCATGATTATTAGCCCTATTATGACCGACCTATTGGAAAACTGATTTTCCTAAAAGTCATAAGATAATAGTTGATTTACCCCCTTGGGGTTAGTAACTCCTAGGTTGGAAACCACTGATCTAAAACATAAATCTAAAACGAATTTTTGATAATTCCTAAAATCATTATACATAATTAATAACATGTTTACGGACAACAAAAACATAAAAACTAAACAATTAAGAATTGTGAGAATACAATTAAAAACAAATTCAAAATAAGACATGTCGAATCCTCGATTAGTAAGGCATTCATAATTTTATACAATCGCTATTTGTTGTATTATAAAAATATTACATTTAAGTAATTACAAAACTATCAATAACTATTAAATGACAATAACATTACATTACATGTACATTTACATATTAAACACTTCATACAATATCAAATTGTCTGTTCAAACAAAATATAATTTGTTATTAGTTAGAACCAGGCATCTTAAAATGAAAGGTCTCAGAATATGAAATCTATGAGTCGCTAGTTTTAATAGCTTATACTGACTTTCAGTGTTGGAGATCACCTAAGTGTTGAACTCTAAAAAACTGGCAAAGTGCAAGACGGACTCGCGCACGAAGAATTCCGTACCATTAACTATAGAAACGACCATAAAGATCATGTTTCTCGTATGGGAACTCCCCTTGATATTTTGGTTTAGATTTATTTTATTTTGTTTTTAGTTTTCGTTGTCATAGCGACAACAGAAATATGCTGTGAAAATTTCAACTAACTATCACAGTTCATAAGATACTCCGCCTGATGACAGGCCGATGAAAAGCGGACCCTTAGAAATAGGGTCCCGTTTTATGCTTCGGGTACGGAAATCTAAAAAAATGTCTTAAAACCTCTTTTAACATTACTAATTATACATCTAGTTAACCTCGGATTCAATCCAGATTTTTTTTGTACTATTATACTGCATCCATAATGCATAAATTTATCTCAGTTTAAAAGCTAGAGTATTTGCCAGTGATATATGAAATACGGTATATTTAATGTCAGTTGATCAAGATCATGACATCTATTTATAAATATAACTTCGTATATAAAAACAACACATGAAGTAAGCTAACATGCCGTGATTTAATTTTAATATTTTTTAATATGCTCTTTAAGCAATTTAATAAGTGGTTAAAAATGTAGGTATTTGTTCCACTTTTTTATGAAGAAAGTAGATAATTACTTGTATATTCTTTTTCTGAAACTCAAATATTACCAAAATTTAAATTTACTTATATTTCTATATCAATTATAAAAGTTATTGATGTGTAGAAAGAAAAAAAGACAAAGCTCTATATAAGACGAGCTAATCTATTTTAAATCAATAACAGGGAATGTACTGGAATAAATTGGATATCCAAATACATAACACTTATTTTGTTCAAATATTTTTTTTTATATACACATAATCACATTTTTATTACACAGGCGTCGAACAAAGTTTACAGACGACAAAACAAATTTATATACAACTTAGCAAACATATGATTAAGACATGATGCACTATATTTATTTTTGTATCCATCGCTACCCCAATATTTTTCATTTCAAAGTGCACCATGTCATTTTTTTGTCTCCATAGATGGCGCTTGTGTTAAAATTTGATTGATTTATTTTGTTTGTGAATAAACATGTCTGTTTACTTACTTGTCCAAATTAAAAAGAGAAGAAGAGGCAAAGGTATTGCGGATGCAATATAAACCAAATTCATTATAAGCTCAAAATAAATAAATAAAAAGAATTGGGGCAGTTTCAATGTCAATTCAAAATTGCCTATTTCTTGAATATATTATTTTTCACTTTTTTGATTTCAAAACAAATCTACTGATCACATCACAATACAAGTTTTATGGGATCATCCCGGAAGGTATACTATATTTGTTGAATAAAATTGAATAACAAATAATATTAAATAATAAAGTACGTTAAAAACGGTTTATAATTATGACCGGACACAAACACACTTCTATTTCGAAGACGGTTAAGAAAAAGTTAAACTTATCAAATTTGGAACACTAACGCTATCTAATAACAACCTAAACTAATCTGTGATGTTCAATTAGACATGAAATATTTGTACACACGGCTGTACATTAGTTTATATCAATGTCAAATTTCCGTATTTAATTTTAAACTCTACTGTTAAACAATAAAGGTTTAAATTCAAGTGGAGAAATTTCATAGATTTGAATAACCAGACATACCGACTGTACTTGGTGACATCAAACACTTTACAGTTTATTTGATTGTATATCTAACCGCTGCCGTAATACTCCTCCCAATATAAATTCTGGGGCTACAACTGTCGCCCCTCTCTTCTTCAGTGAGGGCCAAAGTGCTTTATCAGCAATACATGATACACAAATCCATTGTGGACCACCTTCTTTCCATGTACCACCTGAACATTCGACAATTACTGTAATAAAAAAAACATATAATTATCAAATTATGTATATTAATACTTAAAACATAGTAGAGGAGTTCGATGACCCATTGGTTATCGCGCTCGCTCTATATTACGGTTGTTCACTTAACTTTCGCAATGGCCGGTCATAGCATGGGTGCCCAAAAATTTGTTCTCGATCTCCTCCGTGCTTCGGAAGGCACTTTAAGCCGCACGTCCCGTTAACACCCACAAATCCGCATCGGACCCGTGGTGGGTCATGGTCCATCCCCCTTAACTATACATTAGTTAGGTTTGAGCTCAAGTAAGATGGCAAGGGGGATGGAATCGCGTATTAACGCATCCCACCCCTCTGTGGACCGACGGGACAGGGCTGACACCCAACCCCGTAACCCTGCGGGACTAGCTCGCAGGGACGGTCCACCGTCTGGGAAAGGCTGTTATTCACCCAAGCCTTTCCCCTCCCGCAGAGGGCGACTCCTCTCTACCCCCCTAGAGAGGAGTCCCAGCGCGGATTGAGTCCGGGCCCTCCTTGCTGGATACCGGACTCATCCATTCGCGTGAGGTGAACCGCAGCGGGTTCTACCAGGTAGGGCTTCCACATTAACTTGCCCTTTTCAGGGCGGGGTGGAAGAGGAGCCCTGGTTTAAGGATAAAGGTGCATTTCCCCTGCGTTAAAAAAAAAAAGTCTGTTCTCAGGTGCTGTAGGCAGTGGGGACGTAAAACGGGCTAATGATGAAGCCAAAACATCATCATCAGTCTTTTATTGTCCCCTCTGCTGGAGCACTGCAGGTCTTTACTATGAATGGAATCAAACTCCCCACACGAGGCCATTGCATATTAATGGGTATTAACAACTTCAATGGCACCAATGCACCGGTTTAAATAATCCTCTGATGCATGGTGAAACTGGAGATAACAAATTTCTGATCACCCATCTTATGACCGTCTATATGTGATTATAAATAGAAATATTTGGATAAAAAATTGGTTTCTTAAAGTAAATGACAAATAACCTACAAATATTAGTCCTACGTATAACAGCTTTAACTACTCACATTTCATTTCTGTCGCATTTGGCAATACTTTAGGCGTTGACGACACGTTGTACCCCTTAAGGAAATTGCGTTTGCTCAACAAAACGCGTTCTAAATTGAATTGGAACCTTTTCTCAGCCGCTTCATCTTTCAGCACATAAAGCCAAGGATCTGAAGTAAAACATAAATTGATTGAAAAAAACAGTCAGGAAATTTGATGAAAACTAAAATTTATATTAAAATAACACGTTCGGTCAGTCCCACAAACGTCTATTAAGATTTAATGACGCCTTGAAGCTATATTGAATGTCAAATTTGTATCGGTTAGTTCAACTGGCTGTATACTACTACATAGTATAAAGCAAAGTCGCTTTCTCTCTCCCTATATGCTTATGTATGCTTAAGTCTTTAAAACTACTCAACGGATTTTGATGCGGTTTTTTTTCATAGATAGGGTGATTCAAAAGGAAGGATTTTATTTATAATACATGACCACGCGGGCGAAGCCGCTGGCGGAAAGGTAGTTTATATATATTATATAATTTTGATATATCGAAATGACGTCATTAATATGGCAGTCAGTGCTTTTGCAAGTAAAAAAAAATTATTTCATTTAAAGCAATACATTGTACTCGTATTAATTTTTCTGATATACTTTTTATTGTGGGTTATTTTAATTAAAATAAACACTTACAAGTACTTTTTAAATTTTGCAGCTACATTAGGCACCAGTTAGGTATAATTAAGGTTTAGTTGTGTAAATATGTAAATATAATATGTAGAAAACTAAAAATAAAATATTGTCTATGACTTCATGGTCCTTCGTAATTAATATCGTTCTATGTATGGATAAGGTTGAATTCTCTAATTCTGATATGATTAAGAAGGGCGTGGCGTTGACAACGAACATAAAATATTTGTATTTTCATAATTAATTTAAGCAATGATATAAATATAATAAATATAAAATGTGATTATCCGTAATAGTATATTAAACACTACCAGAAAAAAAAAATATCTTCGTTTACTGTCTACCGTTATGACTTATTTCAGTTGGATAATAAGGTAATATACATACCGACGATCATATTGCAATCAGCGCAGGCTTGTACCCAGTTGGGTCCAACGATGGGCTTACCGAGTCCCACCGAGCACAGAAGTTTGAACGTGCGCTTGATCTGTAGAGTTAGCACTACCGTGCATGCCGACACGTCAGACACTATAACCGCGCCTAAAAACATTATTACAATATGGTTGTACAGTGCGCGGCATGAAAGTAAACCCAATATGGCGTCCACTGCGCAGGTATAGTCGGAGTAAAAAATAAAAAATCATTAAAATATTTATACTTTAATAAATATGATTTGTAAAACAAATAAAAAAGCTTTATTAAAACAAGGGACATACGTACCTACTACCTATTTAGAACGTCAATTGGCTTTATCAACCCTGAAACAGCCACCCTAAGGTGGGTACTCGGAAACGCGTATTCATCTATCCACCCCGATCAGGGTCACTTTTAAATGTTCTTCCGATTTTTTACCCCAAGTACAGTGGAATAAAATTGTCTACAACACAAAATCTTCAATAAAAAGCATTTATAAAAATCACATTTTTAATTAAACAAAAAAAAAACATTTCTTTTTTTTATGTTTTTTAATTGTAGTATCTTGGGCTGGGTTTATACGTTTTTTTAATGACTGTACACAGGCGGGGGAGAAAATCGGAAGTAAAATTATGATGCGGATTCCTGTTATCCACCACGTTCAGGGTGGATAGATAAATACGTGTTTCCAAGTATCCACCTTAGGTTTTGTGCTGCTTCAGGGTTGATAAACGGAATAAGCCCGTCATTTACTTATTAACAACGTTTACATGAATTATAAAGTCACTAAACTGTGTAATCACTTAGCTGCCATTTAAAAATCAAAAGCCAAAAAATTTCACAATAACGAATAACGACAAAATTCAGTACAATAATAAACTTTATTTCTTAAGTGTACTTGTTAATGAAAAGTGCATTTGTCATCAAATAGCGGGAAGTAAATTTGTAGGAAAAAGTCAAACGCGGGGTCACAGTAGCCCCTGTTGCTATGGTTAAGGTTCTGCTTCCTCACACTTCACCTCCTTCGATACCTATTTTGTTTACTGTGCAGGGTTTACTTTCGTACCGAGCACTACCATTTTTCAACGTATGATTACAATTGTGCCTTTACATATTGATTAAATTACCAATATAATACTATTCCGACTATAATCAAAAGTAAGGCTGCCTTAGAAGATTGGCGCATGGATGTAGTATGATACTAGATCATATTATATCCATGCGCCAATCTTAATTGCGGGTGATAATTCCGACGAATTTAAACACTGTTACCTTAGAAATAGTATTTAGAATGGAAATATTGTACGCGAAAGGGTACTCGGAAAACGAGCCCTTTTAGTAACGGTATCAAATCGGTGTTATCGTAATAAAATCTTTTATCTTTTCATAATTTATTGATATCAAGATTATTCAATGAATGAAAAAATCTTCCAATTAAGTAACTATTTAAAAAAATATTAACTTACCCAACTTTTCCAGTTTGACTCGCACTTCTTCGGATGGGAACGCCGTAAACAAGACGTATTGTTTCTTGTTGAATCTAGCTGGTGTTGACCTTAAAGTCATATCGCTCGAGCTTACATTAGATCGTGTCCTTTTAGGACTGGGAGGATCAAGATCGCTCATGGCAGATCTCTTTAAGCTCAACGGAGAATCTGTACCCGAACCTGAAGATAAACTGTATACTGTGCTTTGTTCGTGTTTAACTGGTTTATCTTTCTTTAGAATTGATTTATGAACTGCTTTGTTTTGCTCTGTTGGCTTTTCATCCTTTTTTTCTCTGGAAGACCTTTGCCTTTTACTTCGTCGCACTTCTGTCACAATTTCTTCTGTCAAATCAATTTCGACTGGTTTTTTAGGCGGCTGCTTTTGCCGAGACGATTTATTTCTACGCGTCTTCTTACTATCTTCATTTTCATCTACTTGTAAAATATCCTTTACTGTATCAACTTTTTTTCTATTTCTTGTACTACGCTTACTTCTTGTACTTACATTGGTCTCGGTACTAGTATTTTTGCATATATCATCTTTTTTATCTTTGTCAGAAAATGTAGTCTTAAGAGCAGATGTTTCAGAATCAGATTTTAATTTAGGCTCTGATTTTGAGCTATTATCACTTTTATATCTCGTAGCTAAAACTTTGTTTTCTGTCCTTTCGTTTATAATTGAATCTATTTTGACACATTCTTTACTGTCTTTAATATTGATACAATATTCTATTTTATGTTCTATGCCATTATTAGGTATGTCTAATTGTTTCTGATTTTCTTTCTGTTTCTTATTATCTTTTACATTGCTTAGTTTTTTATTATTTTGATCTTTATTGCGTTTAGACTTCTCACTTTTATTTTTTAATCTAGATATATTCTCGTGTATAATATCTTTGTCAATTTCATCTTCTTGTTCAGTAATGAATTTTGGCTTTAATATATTCGTCGTTTTAGTAGATTCAATTTCATTATTTTGTAATTTAACGGTTGGTTTCCGAACGCGTGTTATGATCCGAGTAGGCAAAGAAGCAACATCAAATTTCTTTGTTAAATCTACTTTGGCATCTTTTTTTGGCTTTCTCTTTTTTCGGAATAAGATTGGTGTGCATTGTTCCTGTGAGTCGTTTTCCGTTTCAGATTCACTAGACGATTCTGTGACAGAAATTTTGTGGTGAAGTGACACAGTAGTTTTAATTTCTTGACTGTCTGGTAACTCGACATCCATAAACTTTAAACTTCGTACTTTTTTTGGAGTTACCTCTACATCAGAGGGTTCACTAGGTACTTTTTTAAGTTTGTCCACTTGGGGACTAACTCCTATCACTTCTCTGATTTGTTGACTTGACAGATTTGGCATTAAGCTAATTTCTTCTTCATCAGTGCTGTCTGTAGATTTAGAGGATTTGAAATCGTTATCAAGATGTGGAAATTTATTGCCTGTTTTATATTCCTCAACTGAACAAGGCACTAATTCATCATCTGATTCCATGCTAATTTTATCACCACTATTAGCTTTTATGGGCGCAGCTTGTGGAGATTGACCTTGTTGGCTACATAAATCTTCCAAGATATCTTGTGTTGCTGCGTAATAATTTTCATCATTATCATTATGGTGTTCTGGTACTATTTTTTTTGGAGTCAAGTTCTCTTTAACTAGAGTTAATTTAATTTCTTTCCTTTTGACTTTTATAGGTGATATTAAAGGTATTTTAAAAGGACTTTCAAAATTATTTTTATTAATGACGTTGGGTGCGCTTGCATCGTTACTTCTCTGTTGTATTGTACTGTTCACATCTTCTTCACTAATAATCTGTGTTGGCATATCTTCAAAGCATACATCCTTATTGGAATTATGACGCTCTTTATTTTCCTCATTAACTGCTGTAATTATTTGAGTTGGACAATCATCAATATCATCGTCAATTTTTTGAGTAAGCAAATCTTCGAAGTTGACATTTTGACCACTGGTAACTTCAGATTTGCGTTCTGTAGTATTTTTAGGTATATCTTCTAATGTATCTTCACAGTCAGTTAGATCGTCATCTTCATCAATAGCAATTTTTTGTGTAGGCGCGTTAATTATATCTTCACAATCTGCTGAACTGTCCGAATGAATGTCTGCTGCTATTTTTTTATTTTTATTTAGTTGATCTGTTTGGTCAAGTAACTGTGGGTCTTTTGACAATACTTTATTGGTATCATTATTTTCTAGGATATCGTCTAATGGAAATAAGGGCTGAGATTGGAAATCATCCTCACAATATTCAGCATCCATTTCTTCTAATACAATATCGTCGTCAGACTTGGATATATCCAGCACTTGATTTTTTGAATCTTTAACACAATTCAACTCTCCTGTATGGTACTTTGTTATTTCTTGTGGATCAATAAATGGCTGTGTTTCCGCTGTAAATATATCATCTTCATTTTCTTTATTTGCTGTGAATAGATCAAACTTCATCTCATGCTGTTTATCTATTTTACAAACCTCAGGTAACTCTTCTTTGCCTAGTATGGGTAATTGCCTGGCTATGTCACGAATAGGAGAATGTGGCTTTTGTGTTTGAGCTGTATAAATAGAATCTACACTGTCATTAACTTCTTTTGATGTCAAAAGTTGAGTTGCCATTTCATGAATGTTATTTTTATTTTGATTAACAACATTATCATTTGCAAATGGTATTTGTGTTTGCATTTCATGTATATTATCATATTTATTTGGTGATTGGTTGTTTACATATGGTATCTGTGTTTCCAATTCATGTATATTATCATGTCTGTTTTCTTCCTTCATATTATTTCTATTACGTAATGGTGATCTGTCATTTACATATGGCATTTGAGTTTCCATTTCATGTATATTATTTTCTTCATTAATGTTATTTCTCTTTTGTTTTGGGGATTTGTCATTTGCAAATGGAAGCTGTGTTTCCATTTCGTGTATATTTTTATTTGGAACATCAACTTGAACAACTGAAAATGGACTTTGTGTTTCCATCTCATGTATACTATTGTCAACATGTTTATTGGAAATATTAAATTTATCATTTGACTCATCTAATGAAGAATTTAGTGATAATGAATGTTTCCCAGAACTCCAGTAAACATTATCAATATTTTTAGATCCAATAGGTTGTATAGATATTACATTTAATGAAGGTTTTATGAAATGGCTATTGGATTTTTTTAAATATTGCCCTGTCTTTGCTTGGGAAGGTGCAATAAATGAATCATCCTGGAAAAAATTATAGTTCATTCAATATGCAATTTAAAAAGTACTTGAAAAATCGACTACTCTTTTATTTGGTATTTTCCTTTTCAGAAGTCACTTACAGCCAGTTGCACAAATGTCCATTAAATTTTTCATTAGTTTAAAGTGACCCATACAAATTTGACATTCATTAGAGCTTAAAGGCGTCATTAAACCTTAATGGACGTTTGTGCAACTGACCGTTAAAGTAAGAGTTATAAAACTGGAGAGCATTTAGAGAAAGTTCAGAAATAGAAGAATTACAAATGTAGAGGAAGTGAAAGACGAAAGAAGATCTACTATGAATTTAAATGGATAAATATATTTACATAATGAAATAGATCACCAGTGAATTGTCAATGATAATATGCAATTAGATTGAAACCAAACACTTGAAAATTGATGCACACTTTAAGCAATATGACAAAAAGCTATAGTCTAGCATATGGTCTATGAGACAGAGATTAGGCCAATTTTGCAAGGGTGCATCATCTGTTTAAAATTATATTAGAGCAAATATTTTTTACTTGAGCATGACTGTGCTTCGGAATGCATATGAAACAGTATATCTGCAGTTGTTGACACCCATCAATTCATACTGGCCCATTGTGGTGATTTATGACCTGTTATATTTTGATTTGATTCCATCCATATGGAAGGCTGTACCTCATCAGTGGGGACTACCAATACTACCGATCGGAATAAATATACAACTTTGGCTTAGGCTATTTATAAACTAGATATCATACCTAGAATTTATATATGAAAAATAATTACCCTGTCGCTCACATCAGGTGACTCAGGTACAGTAGTAGTTGGTGCTTTGTTGAATTTTGATATATGCCTAGTAGAGATTGGGGTCTCTGGGATATCAATAGCTTGTGTCATTGGTAAATCATCATTTTCTTCAAGAAGCCTAAAGACACCAAATATATCTCCAAACTGGACCATATCACCGTCCTTGAGAGGTTGTGGTACATATGGTTGCAAGACTTTCTGGAAATTGAAAACCAAAGTTTATAAGAATAATGTTTTCAATACTTTGAGCAACATATAAATAAAATGTTTCATTCAATTACTTATCCATTATCAATATTAGACAATCCATACAATTCAGAAATAAATATACAAATATACTCACATCCATTAGTTTTGTTTTGTTAGCTGAATCTAAATCCATCAGCATGAATTCTCTTTGGTTTAATATATTTATTACAGCATGTTGTCTTGAAACAGACTATAAAGAAAGTAAATCTGTTATCATCTATTATCAAATATTTTGCAATTAAATTACTATATTGTATTAAAAAATGGAACAAGCAATTACATTTAAATTTAAAACAATACTGCATGTTTGTGGATCTCTTCCAATCTTGTTTGGCCCTTTTTTCACTGGATGCTTGACTCCACATATTCCTAAGAACCCAATCTGCAGAAATAAAGACTTATATATGAAATGGTAATTAATGTGCGTAATCTACTAAATCTGTTCCAGCTTTAGGTGACCAATTCAACACATTTGTAAAAAAGTAATAAACAAGATAAGAACTTATGATTTACACAGACATGGATAATGTTAATCATAGTTTAAAAGTTAACCTGTTCGGGGCACTGTTTGTCTGTTCTATAATATTCCTGAGTGCTTTCTAGCCGCTGTGTGCACTCCATGGTAATGAATTAACCACCAACAAAACAAAACATTCACAAACTTCACAACACAATCTGCAGGATGCAACGATCGGTATATCGTATAGCCGATATTTAAATAAATAAAAATCGATATTTCAACGCCAAAAATATCGATATGTATCAATTTCGAATAAAAAATATATACCTACACAAAATACAAAGTCCAATGAGTACATGTATGTCAGTTGTCTAAATTTTAATATCTAATCTAATGGCTGATTTTCACTAAAGATGTTCACGTGTCACATTAGACACATTCGTGTAAGTTTAAAAAGTATTCTCTGTTCTAGCTATATCTATAGTCGTAAATTAAAAATGTTGATTTATTTCAAGGACTAAGTTTATATTCTTTTATTATTTTACCTACTTAATCAATATTTTGTTATTTTTTTCTTTTAGTCAAATTTATAATAATTCAAATAAATAACCAAAACCATTAATAAAATATTAAAGCAACAACATTATTAAATAATATTAACTCTTTTATAATGTTTATTAATTTTCTTTTTCTTCTCCTTAACCTTACTGGATTCCCCTTCTTTTGTATACGATTGAGCACTGTCGTTGCGTCTAAAGATTTCTTTTTCAAGAATGCCTTATTTCAGAAGTAGGAGTCATCATCACACGTAATAGAAACAGGCTTCACGGAAGGAGGCTGTCAAGTAGCTCTTTTAAAGACAGTAGCCGTCGTCAATAAGTGGAAGTATTTTTTTATAATATTAATAATATAATATTAATGATAAAATAATAGTGAATGGAATTTTATTTTCATGAGGTTTTTATAAAAAAGAGCTTTTGTATATACATAAGATCTAAAAATATTGATGCATATCCACTAAAGTAATTTAATTAATAATGATCTTGTTTATAAGATCTTTTGTGTTTAGATAAACCTAAAATACCTCTTTAATTAAAATATTATAATATAGATACGATTGGTATCGATTTTTATTTAAAATGGCATCCCTATTTTTTCGATTATTTTTAATTTAATTAAAGGAAAAGGGATCTAATCCATACAGTTTTGTCAGAAGTAAAATTATTATGGTGATTTCATTATCCTGATTTCATACGTAAATTTTGAGAAAGACCTTATAATAGTCGAGTGTGCATTGACTCGAATTTACCGAGTGTAAGTCTACAAATATCCTACATTAGAATGTAGATTAATTATATTTTAATACAAATAAAAAAAATCAGTAGGTAGTGAAATGCTATGCGTAAGAAGCTATGCATGTTAAAGGTCTGAATATACTGAGATAACGGATAACAGAAATGAATAGCGACGAAAAACATATTGCGCCGACCCATAGCTTAGTGCGAGACAAGGGCTAAAACTAGAAGAGATAGTGAAAATGCTAATTCTTTGGTTGTTAAAAAATATATACAATACAATATAACAATTCTTTTATAAACTTATAATTCTTAAAATCTTGTGTAGCCGCCGTCTGCCTCTATAACAGCTTGGAGACGTTCCCTCATCGAGCCCACCAGTCTTGAGCAGATATCAGACCCACGTGTTTCCTCCCAATCCTCATTGCAGTGCCCTTGTAGTGCTTCTGCTGTTCGTTCATTACGGTTACATCATCTCTGAACCATAAGACCCCACATATTTTCAATAGGGTTGAGATCTGGCGATTTTGCAGGTCATGGTATCAAGTTTATTTCCGGATGTGCATCAAACCAAGCACGTGTTACCCTTGCTTTATGTAAGGGACAGTTATCCTGTAAATAATTAAATTGACGCATTTCATTTTCTGGATAAACGTTCCGGACGGATGGCAACATAGCATTTTGGAGAACATCAACATAATCTGATGCCGTTGCTCGTGGTGGCAAAAAGGTTAATTCTCCAACACCATCAGCAGTCATCCATCCATACAAATTTACCGAGATACGACCCGATTCTCTATTTGGCACGACATGATTTTGCGTGTATCGCGTTTTATTGAATCGCCAAAGGTGTAGACGCCCGTGTTGACTGGATTTAAAAGTTTTCTCGTCACAGAAAACAGTGTTACTCCAATCAAAATCCAAATATTCTATGGCGAAATTTAATCTGGCCATTCTATGAGCGTCAGTCATATAAGTTTTCTTTGCATAACGCCTGTGATGTAAGCCCATGTAATGTAAATGGTTTCTAATGGTTTGGAGAGTCACGTCAAATATGTCGGCAAAATAACGCGTTGGTATAAAGCCAGATTCCTCATAACTCCGTCTCATGAAGACTCGCTGAGTATCTGATATTTCAGGTCTACGACCGCTACGACTCCGAGCGTTCAAATTCCCCTCCTCGCTTTCTCGTCTTATCCAAAGACGGACAGCTTGTCTCTATAATCAAAAATAAAATATGAACAGAAAAAATAAAAAAAATTTTTTACTCTCGGACTTGGTCTGAGATTTTACATTAAACTCACGTCAGACATAATAATACTTACCGACACATTTAATTCTCTAGAAATCTCACTAATATTCAAACCATCATTGTGTAATGCGATTATTTGTGCTCTTTCGTTAATGGATAAATTGCGGGGCATTGTAGTGTAAATTAATTAGGAAAATACCTACGGAAAATATTTGACATGAATTGTCAAGTGATATATTCTTTTTCAGTAAAAGAGTTTTCGTAACAAAATAGTTTCCACTTTGAAGTGACCTACTTAAATTTTAAATTTATGAAATATTGTGAAGACTTTTTGTTGTTGCAAATTATTATCTAATGCATAGGCTGCAAAGGTCAAAATAACATTTGTGCTCTACGACAACACGTCAGCATTGTGCATCTCTTTTATTGTTTGTATGCAATTCTAAGATTCGCCTTTAGCGATGCTTTAAAGACACGGGAAATGTTGTCAAAACTGGTGGACCACTTTCTTGGCCGACCGTACATAGGTATCTAAAAAGAAAGAGCTGAGATTAAAAATAAGTCCAAGAGACAACTTCATAATAAAGTTAACTTATTTAAAGATTACCTTTTAATAAGTTAATTATTTAAAGGTAATCTTTAAACAATTAAGTATTTTAAGCAAAAACAAGGAAGGCACAAAAAAGCACTTCACTTTCTACTCTACCAAAAGTTGTTTTTTTGCAGGAAATGAATGGCATATAGTGCATATTCGTTCCTTTTAACTAGCATATTAAAAAAACTGAAATTTTCGAAGTTTGAAATTAAAATATCAATAAAAATACAAAAGAGTACAAATAGAATATGAGTTATTTATTGAGTTTTGAAAAATAATTCACTTTTATACATAGAAGAAAACTGGAAGGGTTGTCATGGAGAAATCAAGAAAGTACCTTAGCGAGATCTAGTTTTATTTCAGGAACTAATATTTTTTTAAATACTTCTTCGTTACATGTTGTTTTAGAATTATTTATATCCTTAGATAGTGAGAAAAACCACTATAACCTTGAATAGTACTGAAAGATTATTATGCTATAAATTGCCTTCTTAACATTGTAACATTAAATTGTTTAATTATAATAAATTTAATAATAATAATAAACGTTTGTTTCTTCTTCTTCTTATAATTGTACAAAATAATGAAAAACATTTCAAACGAGAAGTTTAGAAAATTTTATAAAATATAAAATATTAACAGTTTCAAACTACAGAAACTACGATTTAAAAGTTACGGAGTGAAATTTAGTTTAATTTCGAGAACTGCTTTGATCTTTCTCATTGTAGCACAGCAAGACAGCATTAACATTAAGCGACAGATATGGCCCCTACGGAAGTAGCATAAGATACATACGCGTTGGCTTAGCCGGTCCTTTTGTAAAAACTAAAATTATCAAAGCTAGACAAGATTCCTTTGTAACAGCAACTCATTTAAAATAACATAATATTTTCAACTTGAAGATGGACTTTAGTGGTGGTGAGCTATGTTTGTTATTATTTAATTCTATTCACCTCTTTCCTGAGGATGTCTGTACCTACATTCCTATATCTTCAATTGACCTGAAAAATCCAAAAAATCTTTAAAATTATAAAAAAAGAACGCCTAGTTCCAGTGAAATAGAAGAATAATAATTAATACAGAAGACTAGGCTGTACGGGCCAAGAACGTTTTGCGTTAAACGTTATACTAACAATTAAACCATAGACTTTGCCATAGACTAAAAAATCAATGTCAAACTGACGTTGCGTGTTTGGTTTAGTTTGGGTGGGTTTTGGTGGGTTTGGTTTTCTTTTTCATGTGTGGTTTCAGTTTCGTATGTTCTTCAACTCGTTTAGATGTGTACCTATGGTTTAGCTCTTTAAATAACATTTAGAGCACCTATTTAACCTAATCTTAAAATTGTATTTTTGCGATCCTGTTTTTTATTAAACCGCTATTTTTATCACTTTGAATTTTATACCTATCAACTACTCAACTGTGCATCTGTCTTTCTTAATATGAATTCTGAAAAAGATAATAATTCGGATATCGGCGATCCTGAAGACAATATACCTAGCGATTTCTTCGATGACTTTAACAAAGAGGATTTCATAAACGGTCTCAATGTAATAGACAGTTGGGATGATGACGACAATAAAAGACCCAGGATCGACACCGAAACCCTTGACAGCGTAAAAGATCTACGCGAATTAATACGCGATACTAAAAACGAAGAAAGAATTCAGAAAAATAAACGTGAACACTTTAAGTTTAACAGTAAGTATAAATGGCATAAAGATGATCAATCTTCTTCTAAGATTTCCTCATGTGAAGGTCCTCTTGATGACTTTATCAAGCCAGGCAGTCGGCGGGACCCCAATAAGACCAATGAAGCCATAAAAAAAGATAAAGAAGTAAAAGTTAAAGAATACCTTGCAAAGCATTTGGATTCTACAGATGATCTCAAACCACCAGGAACTGAGCTGGATGATTATTATGAAAAAAAGAAAATGACTGCTTTAGAAGATTCAAAATCACAACATCGACCTCGAGAAAGTCAACGCAGTTGGCGGGAGTCACCAGGAAGAGTTCGTCGAAGCCCTTATCGGAGCCCACGTCGAAGCCCGCGTCGAAGCCCACGTCGAAGCCCACGTCGAAGCCCTAGGCGCAGCCCGCCGTATCGATGTCGCAGCCCCATTCGTGATGGACGCAGGCTGAGCCCTCGTCGGTTCAGTCCAAGAAGATACAGACGTCAATGGAGTCCACGTCGCCATAGCCCATCAAGGAGGAGCCCTCGTCATCCTCAGCATTCACGATCACCAAGAAGAAGTTATCCTTCTCGGCATTCTCCTACTCGGCATTCTTCTTCTCCTGCAATGGAAATCAGAGACACCTTCCTGTACCCACATGGGATGATATATCCTCCAGCAGAATCTTCTTATCCAGTTCCTATGGAATCTGGTTATCCTGGTAGTGTTCCTGGCTATTCATATCCACAAGGACCTCCATATGCAGGGTATGGTGGACCAGGTTATGAATATGGAATGCAACCAGAGCCACCTGTGGTACTAAATCAACCGCAGCCAGTTCCACCTCCCCTTATGGATTTACAATTAACTTTACCATCAGTTCAAGCTCCTACTATGAAACTAACTCCTGAAATGGTTCCAGCACCACTGCAGACTGTGTCCCCATCAGCTATGAAAACTACACAACCATATGATGCATTGGCACAAGTAAATATGTGTTTTTGTATTACAAATTTTCTGTATGTTCTTATGTAGAGTGTTTGGTATTGTACTGGATAAAATTATTTTTTCAGTTAGTAGCAGAGGGTAAGCTTTCTAAAGAAGATTACCTGAAGCTTGCACCTAACAAAGGTGAGCATTCCTAATAACAAAAGTGATATATGTAACACTTAAAAAATCTCAAAATATTGTCTGCAATAATGCATAAACCTAACATGATAACGTTTGAGAAACAATTGATACTTTATTCATATTTGCAAACTGTATGAAACTTTTGAAACATAGTGCAGTATGCTAAATAATTGTATTTAGTGAATTCTCGATTTTTGTTTAATTGAGTAAATACATTTGTTTCTAGATGTACTATTTTCGAAAAGACTAATCTTTTCTAAATCACCTAGAAATATTTATTATGGTGATTGTACAAAGTTTCTACCTCCATTTATATATGTTATACATCACATCCCTCTTTATTCATTTAACATTTTGTTATAATTTAAAATTACAGATATGGGCAACAGTATTGATACCAAGACAAGAGTTATGGGTGAGTAACTTTTTTTTTTAATTTATTTATATATAACCCTACGTCAAACACAAGACAAATGTACTTTCCAAATTTTAAATCTCTTCATCTTACGGTTTAAGCTGTGTGTTGTCTCCAAGTCAATATTGTTAGGAGAAAGATTCTTAGAGATCTAATACTTTAAGAATCTTTTTTTGTTTCGTCACTGATTGGATTTAATATTGTCGGTCTTATAAAAGATAGATAGATTAATTTTGTAATGTAAATTCGTAAATGTCGATAGGTCATTTTGTACTATACACGCTACAGTTGTATTCTTGTAAGTTATAGGAATTTGCTCTTATGTAGGTGCGGACAGCAAAATACGTAAAACTACACATATATAAAGTAGCTCAAACACAAACACTTATGTTAAATAAATTGGAAACAACGAGGTGATTTGTCATATGGTACCTATTTTATATTGACGTTTAAACAAATTCTTGTTGATTTTATTAGTCTCCATTATATACTTATTCTCTTTAATAAATATATTTAATCTTTAATTGCCCACATAATAAAAATTGGATTGACTTTCCGCAGTGCTAAATCGTTGCAATCAAGCTTTAAATAAACTAACGAGCCTGCTGCTGCCCAATCATCTAATAATGAACAACAGTGTTATCGGTCAAGAACCCAAATGTTTGGCGCCTAAATACTGTTCACCGTTGAAGAGACAAGCAGCTGTGGAGTTCCAGTTCACCAAGAGCGGCGGGACTTCTCTCCAACAAAACAAGCAACTTGTCGATAGCATCTTAACTACTATAGGTTTGGATAAAATCGTCGCCAGGCCTAAGAAGAAAGCACCGAAGGACGTCAAAGATGCAGCCGTCCAAACTGTTCGAGCGCACTGCGACATCTGTGAACTCCGAGAATCCACGAAGCACAGTGAAGTTGGAATATCCACAGATCCAGAGTACTTTATGTCTTCTATTCATACTCAAGTTGTAGAGCAAGATCTCATTAATTCTAAATCTATATTCAATCCTACTGGTGGCGCTTCAAATAGTGCTCCCATTTCTATTGCGCATTTAACACCTGCCCAGTTAGTGTCCCAGTTGGCTGCTCGGGCAAAGACGTTAAAACAGACTGAGCCTATGCCACCCCCAAACCAGTTTGGTAGACGTAATCCACCAAACAACTATGATAATAGAGGGGGTCAATATAGTAATTACGATTATCGCTATTAGCTCGCATGTAATTTTTCTGAACTTGTTCAGAGTCTTTGTTTATGATTCCGTTATTTAATAATTAAGGTCTTAAACAAAGTTTTATTAAATATGTAAATGATGTAAAAATGTCACAAAAACATCATAATACAAATATTAAAATAAAGTTTAGGGATTTAGGAGAATAGTTTTATTTATATCACAACATTAATCAACATAATTTGTTTTACTTCTTGTGTGTTGTTGAATGTAAGCAAACGCAATACCCGAAGCTTATGTTATTTTTTATTATTGTAAATTCATTTAATACTATTGTTTTTATTTACGTGATTTTGTTAAAATATCTCTGCTCAGTTATAAAAATTATGTTTTTAAAGAACTACGCGAGGTTATAGGGTCGAATGATCTTTATATACTGTCTTGCCTTTGGTACTTTGATCACGGAAACTGTATATGCTTAGTGATATGAACACAACGTTATTAATAATAGTAAGCTATAATCTAAATACCTGCTATATGTATTTATTTTGAACTTTATGAATTTCAATATACAGGTAGTTAAATTTTTTAAATCCTGTTACGTGATCTAAACGTAGAAGATTTTGAAATTAAACGATTAAACAAGGGCAGAAAATTACTATAAAAAAGGTGTACTTATGAAGATCGAACAGCATAAATCTCATAATGACGGTAAGTTTTTTAATATAAAAAATTTAATTTAAATTTAAATCTGTTATTATTTACTGTTTGCTCTACGGCAATAACTTTAGCAGCGAAGCTTTCTTTTTAAGGGCGGAAACACGAGATGTGAGTGGCCAGTAGCTGTTCTGCGGGCACTTTCAAATAATTCTAAACTATCTACATACTTAAAAGGCCAGTATCGCTTGAAAAAGTCGCGGCATGGGACAGTCCTGCAGCTGCTTGCTTTTCGCTATAATATTAACATGTACAGTCAACAGCACGTCGATCAAGCTATACAAAAATCAATAGAGTTTGGAATCAATTGTGGTTATTTGACATAATGTGGTAACCTGACATGGAACCGTGAGTACCTTTTTATCTTTGTTTGTCTTCTGAAAGATTATTGGTCAGTTGCACAAACATCCATTAAGGATTAATGACGCCTTTAAGCGTTAATGAATGTCAAATTTTTAAAAATCACTTTAAACTAATAACAATTTTAATGGACGTTTGTGCAACCGGCTGTTTGTTATACAAACCTATTATAGAAATTGGTGAAAACTCGTGAACAATGAACTAGAAGAGTTGTATCAAAAAAACATGCGCGGTGCCGGCTCTCAAGCTCGTCGCTGCAAGTCATATTTATCTTGGTGTCTTATGTATTATTTTAGTATTTCTTACAACAATTTAAAAGTTTTGTAATAATATAAAGTATCGATAATATTATATGTGATTATTACTATTCTTTTAAAAAATCACGTACCCACTACAGTTGGTAAATTAAAGTACTAATCAAGCATGGAAACCCCACTGACTGTATCCACAGAAAAGTGCCAAAACAGTTTCAAAACATGTAGTCATCACTCGATCAGTTGTAATGGGATTTACTTGACACGCGAGTGCTTCACATTCATCAATAGGGGACGCTTTCGTAATGCGACAGAATGAAAGGAAAACAAATATTACGATTTATTATTTGTAATTAACGTAACAAATAATTCACAATTATAATGATTGGTGTGTAGTTTCATAAGCTGGTATGATGTTATTCATCTAAAAAGTCATCAAGCCATTTTTCTAAATCTTCAGGCGTTTCAATAAGTGGCGGTTTGTCAGTTTCTGTTTTATTATTCGACGTAGATGCCAAATCTGAAAATATGTTTTTTTTTATAGGTTTATAACCAATTAGTAATTTACCTTCCGCATGAGAAGACCGGATGCGATCACGGGAACTAAAATTTGAAGAATGAAGTTCCTATTGGAGAAGAGGATGTCATCATAGATAGGATACACACAATATAGCGGTAGAGACTGTTCGAAAGCGTACAGTTTGTGATTTATTTCTTTTACAATATTTGGCTTAATGTATTGCTAGGTAAAGTGAATGTTTTCACATCTTTGGGTGCAAGATGGTCACGTACAGTCAAGATCAAATTTTGACATAATATATGTACTCATATAAGACCCATAAAATTGTATTCATATAAATGCATATAAATATGTACATAATGTTGGAAATATAAATACGTTCGAGCACAAATTTTTGTATTCACTTTAGGGTACATTAATTTGTATACAAGCTACGTACTTCCCAATTTATACATACGCAGTATTAAGTGTGTATGTGTCCGCGGTTTCGCGTGCATGACCCGTCCATAAGGTGGTCCCACCAAGAATTTCATACTATCCCCCCGTGTATGTCCATATGTAGATTGGTGGCGCTAAAGCACGGATATTCTTAATGGATAAAACCAATCCACTCAGCATTCCTTACTGGGCTCGCGTGAGGTCTCAATGAGAATTGATGGTGCTATAGCACAAATATTATTAATGGAGAAACCAATCCACCAAACATTTCTATCGGGTCCCGAATGTAAGTCCCAATGCGGATTGGTGATGCTAAAGCACAGGTATTTTTAATGGATGGAAACCACTGGGCCGGCAGTCTATCGAAAATGAGCAATGTATTTAACTGCGATTGTTTTACAATAGTATGTTTATTATGATTTCGAAGTTTAGTGCTATAATAGTTAACAATAACAAAAAATAAACAAGGAAGTTATTTTGGTCCTGTAGATCACGTGATGGGTTAGAAATTCATGTCATAATGAATACTTAATTAGAAAACTAGGCGTGCAATTGTTGCCTGCGACATATATAATTTTGACCTTGACTGTAGATATTGTTTTATAAAATTGGTTGAAATGTATGACAAACAATCAAAGAAAATCCACTTAAGATCTGTTATTTCTATCACCAGAGCACAATTCTTCCCTAATAGATTAATTAATAATAACCCCCATAATTCACCACTCTGGGTCAGTTCAGTTGGTGGAAGCCTGTGGAGCCCAACAGCTTACCAAGCTTTTCTCAGCACGCTCCCTAAGGTGGAAATGTCACAGGTTCATTGGTTTAAATCTACGTATCAATATATAAGTTATGGGATGTCATTGACAAGAAAAAATGCAGTTAAACTAAACCTTAAGCTTAAGGTTGTTAATTAGTGCTGGCCTCAACCTACAGAAATGATAAGTGACCTTTTTTATTAGTTATGAGTGGAATAAGTAGAAATAAAAAATCATACCTTTAGGAATTTCAATTATATCTTCCTTATTTTCAGTTTCAATTGTAATGACATTGTTTCCTAAGAAAACATCAATGTTTTCCAAACTGCTATCACTTTTTCTATTATTTTGTGTTGTTTTATTTTTATTGATAAATGATCTATCTACTTCTATTTCATCTGTTTCAGATAAAGTATGTTCTGTAACTAAAACACTTGAGCATTTTTCATGTATTTCCTTGATAGGTGTTTCCAAAATACTTTTTTGTAGAGATATTTGATTTTCAGTGGGTTCAACAATAATATCTTCTTGTTCATTTCTAAAGTTTTCTTTCTCATTTTTGTCAATGCCCTCATCTGAGCCTTTCAAAATATCAGTTTTTAGAAGTTTAGTTACTATTAAATTTGAAGTTTCATTTAGTACATCATTGCCATATTTTTGTTTAAACCGTGTTGCTCTATTATTCATATTTAAAAGGTCAGTTTCAGTGAATATCTCTTTTTGTATATTATTACGTTCAAAAAATGGTATAGTTGATAATGATAAAAATAAGTGATCTCCATTAATGTCAAAATATTTGTCATACGGAGAAGGACCAATGTCCACATCCCATGACTTTTCATGTTTGAATTGGAAGTAACCACCAATAGATTGTGGTGCCTGGACTAGTGTCTGTAAATAGGATTAAAGTAATTAGGTTTCATATCAAAAATCCAGTGCTATAAGATACATAACTTTTTTACTTAATAAATTAATTGAACCTATAATAAATATACTACTTACTTCATAATCCGCTCCCATATTTTCTTGTTCTTGAATATCATCATAACTTTCTATAGGCATTTCATATTTAGACCAGTTGCTTTGTATATCTTTTTTTTTATACTTCGAATTCTCTTCTTCAGTTATTTTTAGGATGTCGTCTGTTTCTCTTTTCAAGCTTTTGTAGAATTCTGGCCCTGGTTCTTCATAAATGGGTTTTTGTGTAGCTGCAAAGATATCAAATAATATGTTTGACAGAACATTTGTTGTTTCTTTATGTGTTTATGAAGAATATTAATAAGAACTTATTTTATGACAAAATAATGTCTTAATCGTATCAGGTGAATTGGAATGATATAACAAAAAGGATGGTGTTACTTGAAATCAGACCGGGACCACTATGTACCAAAAAATATATTCTTTTGGCTCATGTGTAATACAATCAAAGACTAAAGCGAGATTCATATGAGAAATAGCTTCAATTTTTTTTTTATCAGTAGATAAAAATTATGGTATTACCTTTTGATTCATCTTCTTTCTTTTCCACTTTGTTTTCCGCAGGTACAGGCTGGTGCCGCTGCCGTGGTCGCCTCTGTTCTTTAGGATCATTTCGACCTTTTTGTCTATAAAAATAAAAATATTACTCACAACTTTCAATTTTTATTTCATAAGTGTAAGAAGAATAAAATAAATAAAATAAACAGATGTTTATTTTATTTAAAGTACCTATTCTTTTTTCCTTCTTCTGGCATTTCAAATAAGACAAGACGTACACTTTTTATTTATTTACAAAAGAAACTTATAATAATTCTTCTTTTTAATTAATGCCAAAACCCAGTGTTTCGCTCTTAATTAAAATTTTAGAAGTTATTTATTTTGACGTGACCACTTTTTTTTTTTTTAATTTTTTCACCCATTTCAGGGTAGGCAAAGGACTTTTATCCATACAGCCACGTCATATTTTAAGTCTTTTGATTTTCTTTTAGGTGCAGGCTAACGCCAAGTCTTAAGTTAAATATCTTTGAGGGTTGAGGATATGTATGTATATAATGCTGAATATGTATCAGTTTTCTTCAGAAGTTCTTGTGTGGAGCGCGGGACATTTTCCGGATTCTTATACATTTGCAAAAGTTGATCTGCTAGAGCAAGGCGTTGTATGTTGAACGACGGACAATCAAAGATAATATGATCCAAAGTCTGATCAGCGATATTGCATTGATTACAAGTTGGGGAGTCAATAATATGCATACGATGGAGGTGAGCATTAAACCGAGCATGTCCCAATCTAAGTCTTGAAATAGTAGTGAAAAATGTTCTGCTTCTTGCTGTGTAATTTACAAACCAGGGCTTTTTTCCAATTGAACTATTGATTTCAGCGTACCATGTACCTTTTCTTGATAGAGTAATATGCCAGTCTATATTCCATTGCTGCAATAACTTATTTTTTAGAATAGGAATAATATCAGTAAATGGGATGGCAACATCGTTATCAGGGCTGCCGCTGTCACTGATAACGGTAGTTCTCGCTAAATAATCTGCGTTTTCGTTTTCTTTAACGCCGATGTGAGATGGTGTCCAGATAAAAATCGTTTCAAAACCTTGTTGAGTTAACTGCAACCATAAGTGTTTTATTTCATGTATTAGATAGTTTGTATCGGCAGATAATTTGTTATTTCCCAAGCTTTCTAGAACACTCATGCTGTCTGATACTATAAGCCAGCGAAAATACTGTTCTTTAGATATATATTTTAGTGCAATGTAAATTGCGTAACACTCTGCTGTAAACACACTCATTTCTGAAGGAAGCTTTCTTCCTCTGCCACAATTGATGTAAGGTATGTAGATTGCCCATGCTGTACTTGTGTCGTTCTTGGAACCATCAGTATATATAGATCTATAAGCTGGGTATTGAGTCAATATATTATAAACCTCACTTTTATGTTGCAATTTTCTATCTATTATGATGTGCATATTTGTAAATTTACTCCAGTACTCATGGTCATAACAAACCCAGTGGTAATCATTTCTAAATATGTTATATGTACTCATTTCTAATATAAATGAAAAGTCGTAGAATGGAACTGTAGAGGTTGAGGAATAAGGAAATGTGTTATGAAAGGTAATAAGTTTCTTTATCAAAGCATTATGCTTAATGCATAACAATTTTAGAAGAAATTTATGTTTCAAATAGTTAAACCTTATCTGTAAAGGTGGAATATTGCATTCTATTTGTAATGAATTAATAGGAGTGGTTTTCATGGCTCCTAACACTAATCTCAAATTACGATTCTGTAAAATGTCTATTTTTTCAACTAATCTCCTATTAAACCCAAAACACATAAATCCATACTCAAAATGGCTACGTACTAAGGATTTATAAAGAATTACAAGTATTTTTGGATCAGAACCCCAGTGTGTTCCTGCCAGACATCTTAGAATGTTGTAGGCCCTGGAAGCCTTAGAAATAACTTCATTAACATAAGTATTCCAAGACAAATTAGATGTAAAAATTATACCTAAAAATTTGGCTTTATTCACTATAGGGAGCTTAGTTTGATTATAGTAAATATCTACATGAAATGGTCTTATTTTGTTGAATACTACAACTTTAGATTTACTAACATTAATATCTAGTCCAAGGTGATGAAAATAATTATGTAACAGATCTAAGGCACTATTTATAGGTATTTATAATAACTGATTTTACATCTGAACCTGACATATATACTACTAAGTCATCTGCAAATTGCAAATTACTCACTTGTGGTCCTAATATTAAATTCAATTTTCTAATATACAATATAAAAATAAGAGGACTTAAAATTCCCCCTTGAGCTACTCCCTTATGTGAAAATCTAGGCCCAAATAATTTATTATTATATTTTACAAAAACTTGTCTGCTATGTGAGAAATCAAATATCCATTTAACAATTTTTTCTGGCAGTCCGATGGTCAGTAACTCATTTGCAAGTACATGATGATTTACACTATTAAAAGCACAGGAAATATCAAAAAATACACTAATCAAAACTTGTTTGTTCTTAATGGCATTAAAGATATCAAAATTTAAATGTGATATGCTTTCTCTAGCTGATCGGCCCCTACGGAAACCAAACTGATTAGCGGGCAATATACCATTGCTTTCTATGTAGTATTCCAGCCTTTGTTTGATTAGTTGTTCAAATATTTTGGCCATACAAGATGTGAGGGCAATAGGTCTGTAAGAATCTACTTGAAACTTATCTTTATTAGGCTTTAAGGCAGGTATCAAACAATCAATTTTCCACTCAGGTGGAATTGTGTTGGATGCCCACAGTAAATTATACACTTTCAATACAATTTTTTTAGAACTGTCTGTCATTTTTTTCAGAATTTTGTAAGGAATACCATCAAGTCCAAAAGCAGTGTCATGCCTGGATAATATAGCAGTTGCAAATTCTTGTAATGAAAAAGGTGCAGTCAAGTAATTCAAATTATTGAGAACACTAGATCTGTGGTTAAATTGTAAAGGTGCTTCTACAGTATCAGGTGTGTATTTCTCCAAAAAATTAGGAACCCAATTATCAATATGACTAGGGGGTGACACAGGGGTCTTATTAAACCTTTTCATAATAGTCCATATTCTTGAAAGTGGTGTGGTTCTATTAAAGCTTTCACATAATCTTGTCCAACTGGATTGTCTTTCTTTTTTAATAATTAATTTTTTGAGAGCTTGCTGTTTCTTAAATTCTATATAATTGTTTTCTGAAGGGTCATTTTTAAATTGAATGTAAGCTTTTTTTGAACTTTCTACTGCAGAAGAGCATTTATCATTCCACCATGGAAGAGGTATTCTTAACTTACGTGGCTTATGAGAACTTGTCGGTGATGTGTGTAGTTGATTTTTCATGGGCATGGATTGATCGACTGCTAACAGTAACAGTCGGCTAAGATTTGCATATGTTCCTGATGGATCATTATCATTTATTTCAAAATCATTTAAAAGCATCTCTACATTACTAATATACTTTTCCCAGTTTATCTTGCGATAGTTCTGTTGATAAGGTGTATTAGGTGGATTTAATACATTTGGTTGACTATAACTGATATTGATTTTTGTTATTACAGGTAAATGAAAACTACCCAAAGGGTCATCATGAACACTCCATTCACATTGTAAAGCCAAACTTGGAGATACTATGGTTAAATCAAGAGCATTGCGACGCCAAACATGCGAACCAACTGTGGTATACTGACCATCGTTCAATAAAACAAAATTATTATCCTGGATACAGCTAATTAAATCATTGCCACGAGAATTACACTGATCACATCCCCAAGTCGTGTGTAGGGCATTGAAATCGCCCGCAATAAAAGCAGGATGTGGAAGTGATTTGAACAAATTTTCTAATTTATTTTTTGTTAATGGCGGGTTACTATTAAGAGGACTATAAAAACTAACAATCGTAATTTCTTTGTCAATTGCATACTGAAGACGTATAACAAGGTTTTGGAGGGAGTTATCATAATAAGAAGATATGTTTTTAAACTTTAAGGTATTATGAATAAGTATAGCTACACCATTGTGATCATTACCACAATCAAGTCTGATAATACTATAATTTTTAAATGTAATGTATTGTGTAGGTTTAAGCCAGGTTTCACAAATAATGGCTATGTGTACTTGATTTCCATGTAAGAAGTGAGATAAAAGATGTCTATGACTAAATAAACTCTGGGCATTCCATTGTACAACATTCAAAGTATCCATAAGGGGTACAAACTAAATCTTTTTATTTTTCATTGTTTCAATAAGTACTTCTTTTATGTTTTGGGTACTAATAGATTTGTCATTGCTTTTATTAAAGCTTATCAATTTTATAAGTGATTCTACTAAAATGTTAAGGATAACATCAGAATTCAATATATTGCTGAAATCAGATTGAGTGATTTTATCTTTAATTAGGGGAGGGAAAGACTTTTCATTAATAGTTGTAGCAACATTTGCATATGTTCTAGTCTGAAATTTATTTCTGTTTTCTTCTATTTTTTGTTTTTTAATTGGGCATTCTATTGAGATAGCTATATGATTTCCTTTACAGTTACCACAGATAGCATCTTTAGAGGACTTATGACATTCTTTATAATTATGAGATTCACTGCATATAGAACATCGAGTCGAGTTTTTACAAAATTTAGCAATATGTCCATACCTTAAACATTTAAGACATTGTTTGACTGGGGGTATATATGGCCTTACTTCGAATCTCCAGCTGTTCAGGTCCACGCTGTCAGGTAAAGTTGGACAGGAAAAAGTAATTGATACTGTCTTTGTTGGCTGCAATAACATATGTCCATTGGTATTAGTTTTTCTCATAAAACGTCTGATACTTATAATATTTTTAGTAGAAGTAAGAGCAGAGTAAATTTGTGCATTAGATAACTCAGTTGGTACATGCATTATAACTCCTGTGACTTCAGTTGCGGCAGCTGGGATACTAGCTTTAAGTTTGTTTGCTTTTAAAAAGCTACTATTGTTTAAAGCTGCATTAGCAAGCCCTGGCCTTTCAAAAATGACACCAATCTTGTATTTGTTAATTCTTTTCAGTTGTTTAATACCTTTATTATGTTTTTTAAGTAAGTTTGCAAGGATCATCATGTCCCTGGTCCCGAGCGGCATATCAGGTTCGACACTCTCCAGGAACACAATATACTCGAAATACGAGCCGTCTTCAGGATACTGTCTTACATAGTTACTTACGCGGTAGGTAAC